GATCCCTGATAAAATCTGTTATATAGGAATAAAGTGTTGCTACCGACACTGGAATTTGAACACTGATCACCAGTGAGCAAACACAGGTGATTCCATTTTGAATAATTAAATCACGTGATAGTGAAAGAAATATATATGGGAATTAGCGTGATGTCTAAACGATCACTATTTCTATTCTATCGTCTATTAGTATACGGATCGCTATTTTCTATACTATTCACTATTCTATTTCTCTATACTGATCACTATACTGATTACTATCAGGTGGTTACTCTTCGAGTGTGTATTATCGGGAAAGTACTAATAGTCCGAGTGTTATTCGAAGGCGTCTGACCACAGCATTGTTCAACGGCGTCATTATAGTTGTATCTGCGATTACAAAGTCTCTACTACAACGAGCATTACGAAAGTGACGACGAGTATTTGTTACCATTACAAAAGTGGAAACGAGTGTTCGCCGACATAAAAAAAAATCCAAAGAAGAATTATCAATATTATTGGCCCTGATTTGGCGTCTCGGCTTCAGACATTTTTCCCCAACCGTAAATTGCCTGTCTGTGTCTTTTCTTTAAATAATTTCATGTTAATTGTTCGTATAAGCTGCCCTCTATGGTACCTAGATTTTACAAACTTATACGCATTACAAGATTAGCAACAAGATCTCATCTCAATTTACAGTTGAGTTAGCTCGGTGTAACCGTAAGTTCTATGCTAACAGTTTCTTTGCTCGCACTTTTCGTTCCTAGCTCCGTGCTTTCCAGCCAAATTTAATCTTCAAAAAATGAAATGCAATGCCAATCGCTATCTACTTTCCTCCTCATTACTCTTCTTTTGTTCTTGCTCCTTAGCAATGTTACTGTTTTCTAATTCTTCCACAACCTGTAACCCTTTGTGTCTCAGTGGCTTTACTGCCTTGCTTGCGGTGAACCCGATTAAAAAATGTCTGTAAAAAACAACATTTCTTATAAGTTGTGTAAAAACAAAAATACTTTAATATACCCTAATAATTACAGAGGTACCATATCTGTCTATATCTCTGAGATGAGATTTACTTGTATTACTTACATTATTCAGACTGTTATCCTCATCTTCATTGCCATATTCAAACTGTTTCAGCTGTTGTAAGCTCCGGCCATCTATCTGATTGGAATTTCGAACCGAAATCTTTATTTCGTCCACCGGGATAGATTATTCTAGTTCCACGTGCCACGACTCGTCCGGATATCTCAGTTATTTCCCTTTAACTTAAATCTCCAAGTTTTTTTTCACCACTGCTGTGGCCTGGTACTGAACTCACAACTCTTTGGGTTTAATCACCGGATCTAACCAACCTCTTTATACACTGGGCCAATTGTCCATGAATCAACTGAAGAAAGCAGGAGCATACAACGGCCGAAATGTTATGAATATAGCAATGAAAGTGAGGATAACAGTTCGAATAATGTAAATCATGCAAGTAATCATAATACCTCATCTCAGACATATAGACAGATATTGAAGGCATGGCATGTGGAACTTGGACAATCTACCCCAGTGGACGAAATAAAAGGGTTCGGTTCAAAATTCCAATCACCTGAAGAAGTCCAGAGCGTACAACGGCCGAAACGTTGTAAATATGGCAATTAAGATGAGGATAACAGTCCGAATAATGTAAATAGTGCAAGTACCATATATAGTCTATAAGTGTATACATGAAATAATAGTTGAAATAATTGGACAATTGTTTTCTGCTGCCATGAAGGGGAATGATTATATTGAATCAGTTGCTTGTTCTGCTTCTAGGATAGTTGGTTTACTGTATCGTGCGAGACAGATTTTTCTCGTCAGAATCATTCTTACGCATTTATAAGACAACCATTCGTCTTTACTATGAATATTGCTGCCACAAGAGTTGAACCAAACTAGTACGCTAAAACGCTCGGGCACGATGACTATTTGATTCGTGCTAGAACAACTATCGACGGCTTCTAAACAGTTTCGTCAACCCAAATTCGCTGATAAATTTTGAGTCTTCAAATATTTTCCAAAGGGGCCACACGATGGCATCCCGAGACCAACATTATCAAGAAATTTATCTCTTTGATAAATCGATGGGGAGATTCGAACCCTGGTCTTATTTACAGGAATGCTAACGTTCCAACCACGATCCCATTTCACTCATAAGGTTTAAGTCATCCCGGGGTACGGGTTTCAGATACTTTTTAAATGAACTGCGCACTGCCATCCCGAGGCCGATATTATCAAGAAATTTATCTATTTGATAAATCGATGGGGTCATTCGAAACCGAGATTTATTTACAGGAACGATAACGTTGCAACGACGAACCTATTTTATAAATATCTAAGGATACTAATTTGCGGAGAGCCGTGATGGCCTATATTCTTAACGGCAATATTTCTGGCCGCATTTTTTGGGCGAGAACAACCTTACACTTTAGATGCACATACGTGCACACATGTGCATCGTTCGTATTCCACGAGTTGTTCGTACTGTTCAACAGATCATTTCTGATGTAGTTGTGTTTTTTTCTTTCTTTACGGCAAACAGAAAAACTGATGTTCACCAGCAATTTTCTAATTTTTTCTCACAGCTGTCCATGTTAATTTAGGGCAAATATCATTCAGTCTTGTGTGTGTGTTTCTGTGTATTGTTGTTGTTGTTGTGTGGGTCTGTATACAGTTAATAATTTCGACATGAGTCATTATTTTCCCATGCGTTCCTCGAAGTACTGAGCGTATTCAACCAGCGAATCTACAATACGCCTCTCTCGTCGGTCCTATCCTATTTCTCCTTTTATTCATTAACGGTCTTCCCAGGAGCATTCTCAGTTCATTAGTAAGGATCTATGCGAATTATACCTCAGTTTATGGATGCACCTCCGAGAATCTAAGATGTTCGCGAAGTGTTTTCATTTTGATTTTCTTAAACAGTGAAAATGATGTCACCCGACCTAAATCGAGAAGTCCTACTAAAAAAAAAAAAAAAAAGAGCAACCCAAGAGGCCTGTTGTCATTAATTTTGCCGTCACAAAAAAGCAACTCAAAAACGTATACAAACTAAAAATAACATTTATAGTAATAATAATAATAATAATATATATTATATATAATAAAAATAAAAAATTACTGAATCAAAGAAATGAAATAGCTATTCCTTGCCGACATTTTCCTTAATTATATTTAAAAATAAAATAACATAATTAAATATTAGAAATTCTGCTGTTACATATATGTTATATATATATATATATATATATATATATATATGATGTTGCGCACATATATATATATATATATATATATATATATATATATATATATATATATATATGCGCATTTCATTGAATATGACAGACAAGGTGCTTTTATTTAGTTTTTTATACAATTCTTTTTATCCGAGCGCTTTCGGCTATACATTTAGCCATTTACAAGGATGAAATATTTTAACTGTTAAATAAGAAATCGTTTGTTGCATGTATGTTTTATAAAATGTTTTCATTTTCCAAAACACTGTCAAGATATTGTGTCCATGATCAAAGTTAATATTATTAAGTGTTGGTTTTTTGTTTTTATTAATAAGGCTTCCATTATTTTTATCCTTTTTTTTGCATGTAGATGATGCTATTATATTAGTGTTGTCAACAAGTTTTTATATAATTTATCATCCTAAAAGAAAAAAAATTATTAGACTGCATGAGAAATTGTATAAAAACTAAATAAAAGCACCTTGTCTGTCGTATTCAATGAAATGTGCATAAAAGAATGATTGATGACTAAATACACACACACACACACACACACACACATATATATATATGTGTGTGTGTGTATATATATATATATATATATATATATATATATAATAGCTGGCCACTCGTATTCGAGGATATCTGTTTACTAAAGTGACTAGACAATCCCTATTGCAGGCTCTCGCTCAGGTAGATTTGGATCTGTTCAACTCTAAGAGAGCCAACATGTGGTTTATATTGCAACTATACCGAGTAGAACTTAGTTACAGTTTCTGGGAGAGAGCGTGTTATCAACAACTTGAACAAGGCCAGCACGCTCAAGCCCTCGGCCACGATGACTTGGTGACTTCGACGACCCCCAAATGTACCGACTACCCGTTTCACTCAAAGGTCTGTTATAGTAAAGGTAATAATCCGTTTGTATATAATCCAAGTGGATTCTAGTAATATAAAATATTAAAACTGATCCACAAAAACAGCTCAGTGAATTTACTATTACAGAGCAAAAATTAATACACAATACAATCCAAAATCACTTTCTATGTGGAATAAGCTTATTTCAACCGACGAAAATATAAAATTCGTCAGTTTTATTCAACAACAGCCGAGATTGAGGTTCTGTCGGAATTAGAAATGTAACTGTAAAAGCTACCAAAAAGATATATATATATATATTTTTCTAAGGTAAAACATTTGTCAATCTAACAAATTTTTATCACTTTAAACGTGATTTTAGTGCATATATTTATATTTGTGGAGATGTTCTGCTTATTTATTAAAACAGGATATTAATTTATTTCGTATACCGGCTTGAATATTCGAGAAATCTTATTATTATAGAACAATCGCCTTTCTTTGTGTGACAGGATTAGAAATAGAAAAAAAGAAAAAAAGAAAAGAAGAAAGAAAACGAAAATAAAGGGCACTGAAATAGAGGGAAAAAAAGAAGAAAAAGTCAGGAAGAATCAAGAAAGCGGCGAAAATAAAAGGCACTAAAAATGAGAAAAAAAAAGGGAGAAAAATTCAAGAAAACACAGGAAAATGGCGAAAATAAAGGGCACTAAAAAAAGAAGAAAAAACGAGAAAGCGCAAAAAACTCAAGAAAACGGCGAAAATAAAGGGTACTAGAAAGAGAAAAAAATAGGGAATTCAAGAAAAATCAGGACGCCGACAAAAATAAAGGGTACCAAAAAAAGAGAAAAAAAAGGAGAAAGCTCAAGAAATTCAGAAAAACGGCAAAATGAAAGGGCGCTAAAAAGAGAAAAAAAAGAGGAAAAACTCAAGAAAAATCAGGAAATCGGCGAAAATAAAGGTCACTGAGAAAAGAGAAAAAAAAAGGAGAAAGCTCAAAAACATTGGGGAAAAGGGCGAAAATAAAGGGCGCGAAAAAGAGAACAAAAAGGAGAAACATTCAAGAAAAGTCAGGATGACGACGAAAATAAAGGGCACTAAAAATGAGAAAAAAGGAGAAAGCTCAAGAAATGTCAGAAAAACGGCGAAAATAAAGGGCACGAAAAAAGAGAAAAAAAAAACCCAAGGAAGCCAAAAGAAAATAAATAAATAAAAACTCAGAAAAACGGCGAAAATAAAAGGCACTAAAAAAGAGAAAAAAACGTGAAAGCTCAAAAACACTCAAGAAAACGTCGAAAATAACGGAGAAAGAGAACAAAATAGAAGAAAAACTCAAAAAAACTCAGGAAAACGGCGAAAATAAAGGGCACTAAAAAAGAGAAAAACTGAGAAAGCACAGCCGCGCCGTCGCCTCTCCCTGTCTTTTTTTTTACAAATACTTTCATGGCAATTGCTCCGAGGAGCTGCATTCGCTGGTTCTCAGACTTCATGAGTTCAAGCGCCCGACGAAACTGGTATTCCGCTCTCACCCCTTCACTGTTGAAACTACTAAATGTAGCCGTCTCTTCTACTCCAATAGCTTCATGTCTCGCACCTCTCGCCTGTGGAACTCCCTTCCCTATTCCAGTTTCCCTGAGAGCTATAATCCCCAGCTATTCAAGTGTAATGTCAATCGACATCTCCAGTTGCCTTGATCTATCCACTAACCTTCTCCTCATCCTTTCTTTTATCACTCCTATCTGATCTTTCTCCAAATTTTCTGTAACCCCTTGCGTCCTAGTGGCTTCCCGCCTTGTTTGGGGTGAAACGCTTAAAAAAAAAGCGCAAAATTACTGAGGAAAACGGCGAAAATAAAGGGTACTTGAAAGAGAAAAAAAAAACAGAAGAAAAACTCATGTAAAGTCAGGAAAATGGCGAAAATAAAGGGCACTAAAAAATAATGATGAAGACAGAATCAAGTGGAACAAATGTCACAACAATGCAAAGGACTGAATTACATTTGCTGACATAAAAAAAAATAAAATAAAATTGATGTGAGTCACCCTACACCCATTTTCTCACAGACGAAACATCTAGCATCTGTAGCTATTTTCATGGCAGACGTTTGGATAAACTACATTCCTTGGTTACACCAGTCTAGACCTACCCAACTAAGACCTACCGTGCCATATACCCTGAAACGACTCGTCCTCATTCCCTTCATATTCCATTAGTAAAGAGGAAGTTTCACTCAGCTTATTCTGCAGAACTGTTTCAATATAGAACAGACTCCCAAGAGAATGTTTACCCAACCACTACACTCTTAGCATCTTCAAAACTAAGATCAACCGTTATATATCCTACATATCCTCGTATCTTTCATAGTAAAAGAAAATTCCTATTAACGATAACATTTATAGTCAATTTAATGTCAGCTGTTATCTATTCTATACATTCCTATCTTACTCCTTACTTGTACTTCTTTTAAACAACCTTTTTTTTAACCCTCTGCAATGACTAACTATGGGGCCTTATATTGGACGAAGAACAGTAAAAGAAACCTGTTTTCGGTGACATATTTAATCTGATTTCAACCTTTATCTATCCGTCATATCCTCATACAATCTTACTCTTTACTTGTACGCCCTTACAACAACCTAATTTCGTCATCCTCTACATTGACGGACTCTCTGGCCTTGTTTTGTGTGAACGATGGTAAAAAAATCTTATTCATTGCTATTTATGTTATTTTTCCATTATATAAAAACTCTCACATTTTCTGATAATATAAATGAAAAACCGCAAACCATTTTTTCAGTTAAACATGTTTTACCCGATTCTAGGCACTAGTCACTGAGCCAATTAATACCTGACTTGTCATAAACCATTGTCATAACACACCTGTATGAGACACACTTAACACACCCACTCGTTTCCTTTTCAAATGTCTATTGTAATTTTGTTACTCACATTTTAAATTTCCCAATTTAACCTTCCGCGAATCGACTGATTTAAAGTCAACATTTGGCGTAGAGGTCTCAAACACGCAGCTCGCAGGAAACCTTTTTTCGTAAACAATATTTTCCCTTTTCAAGTTCTGTTCTAGTTCCTCTCAATTCAAATGATGAGGAGCATCTACTGCATTAACTGATGAGGGAGACGTTTTTGCTTCGCATTTTGACAATGGATGCTTCTTTTTAAAAATTAGGCGATTGACTTTAATCCGGATTATCGAGTTAATGCGAACGCTCCTTCCCTTAGCTGCGTAGTATGTACTTCGCCAGAGCAGTATTGAATTCAGAGGTTTCTTTCTTCTAGACCGGTTGCTATTCCAGGCTATAAAACCCAGTTTGCGAACTTACGGCCTTGTGACAAACATAACATATAGAATTAAGAGCGGTTGACAGATATCTGTCCGAATTTCAGGCACGTGGAGTTATCATTTTTTTATATAGTATTTACAATCATTCTAATGGCCAGACCATTGTTTTCATTATCACAACGTTTCGACCGGTTGTACTCCGATCTTCTTCAGTTGTTTGTAGATCGGTTTAACCTTCCGGGTAATTTTGAATTGAACTTTTTATTGAATCTACGAAGGACGGGTGTTCTTGCTCAGCTTATCTCGTCTTGTTTTTGACGTAGATAAATAAAGGGGTCAGGTCGAAGTTCCGTCAAGTTTACACGGATTTAACAGACACCTGAAGACCGGAGAGCACAACAAAGACGTAGACAGTATTCTTCCGCCATATTCATAGATACCATCATCTATAAGGTTCGTTCTTACTGTAGTTGTGGTAATAGCGGGTGTGTATGTTTCAAGATATCCGTCCCTTTTTGATTGGTTTCGAATTCAGTGTGAATCTTTTTAGAGATTGGTTGCCCAATCAAGATTAAAGAACTCAGTCTACCCTATTATTTAGGGGTTTGAAATCTGTTATGGTAACTTCCCCACGCACGCATGGTCTCTCCCGGCTATAAATAGGAGTAGGTACTGCCTTTTAGAGAGGGAAGATTCCATCCGTCACTTCTGACAGTCGGACCGAACATTCTTGCTGTATCACTCTCGTTTGTATATGTTTGTATTACTGTTAATATATTTGTTTAACTCAATTCCCCTCTTTGTGTCTTTATTTCTGGCCCTAACAAGGCCACAACAGAGGGAAAAGTGTTCTTGCTCCGCTTATCTCTTCTTGTTTTGGTATAGAAAAATAAAGGGGTCAATTCGAACTTGAGCCAGAATTTCAACACGTTACGCTAATTCGACTTTAGAGAATGAGACAGACAGACAGACAGACAGATAGATAGATAGATAGATAGATAGTAACAGGCTGAAGATAGATAGATAGACAAGAAGGAACAGGTTGAAGACAGACAGATAGATAGATAGATAGATAGATAGATAGATAGATAGGAATAGGCTGAAGATAGATAGATAGACAGACAGACAGACGGATGGGAATAGGCTGAAGCTAGCTAGATAGACAGACAGACAGACAGACAGATGGGAATTGGCTGAAGACGGACAGATGGGAATAGGCTGAAGCTAGCTAGCAAGATAATAGATATGAACAAGTGATAGATAGATAAGAACAGGTGATTGATAGAAAGAAAGAAAGAAAGAAAGAAAGAAAGAAAGAAAGAAAGGGAAGTAAGCCAATTGAGGGTGGGGGAAAGTATACTTTGTTGGTTGGTTGATTTTTTAACCAAACGCTTGCATTTCTTGTTCTTTTCCTATGCATCTATTTTGAGTTTCCCGTATTGTTTGTGGCATTATTAATAGACAGCGAAAAGTTAACCCAGAGAAATTAGAGATAATGTTAAAAATCCTGCCAGCCAGACTGAATATAGATCACGATACATGGGTGGTCGGCCAGCCACGTGGCTGCCATAACCGAGACTTTCTCACCGCTGGTCGAAGTCAATAGAAGGAAAAGCTAGAATTCAAAATGCCGATTTCTTTGTTGAGAAGCACACCATCCTAACATAAAAGTTCATTGATTGATTTCTTTTTTCTTTTTCTCTGGTTGACCATCAAGGCTAAAGATCTTAGTCTACCTTACATTTGGATTTGAAAACAGAGTCATCCTTCTGGTTTCTTTACCATTCCAAGGCAAAAGAACAGAGTCTGATTTGCTATTTACGAGGTTTGTCCTTCTTTTGGACTCGTTGCCTATCAAGGCTAACGGAACCAATTTTGGAGTCTGTCTATATTTCTGAGATGAGGTATTATGTACATTATTTACATTATTCGGACTATTGTCCTCATCTTTGTCGCCATATTTATTACAACGTTTCGGCCTTTCAGTATCTGTCTATATTTCTGAGATGAGGTATTATGTACATTATTGACATTATTCGGACTATTGTCCTCATCTTTGTCGCCATATTTATCACCACGTTTCGGCCGTTGTACGCTCCGGCCTTCTTCAGGTGGTTTAGAATGTCGAACTGAACCCTTTATTTCGCTCACTGGGGTAGACTGTTCTAGTTCCAAGTGCCATGTTTGATGGATGTCAGTTATCAGTTATCTCCTGTTAATTTCCCTCTGAAAGTTTTCCACTGCCTCAACCGGGTATTGAACTCACACTCTTTGGGTCCTGTCACTGGATCTAACCAACGCCTTTATCCACTGTGCCATGCGTCCTTGAGGTTAAGGCAGTGGAGAACTTTCAGAGGGAAATTAATAGGAGAAAAAAAGCGGTTCAGTTCGACATTACAACTACCTGAAGAAGGCTGGAGCGTACAACGGTCGAAACGTTGTAATAAATATGACGACAAAGATGAGGACAATAGTCCGAATAATGTAAATAAGGGACCAGTTTTATCTAATATTTTGCGGGGTTTAAAGCTAGGATTCATAATGCCGATTTCTTTCTTGAGAAACTCACCGTTCTAACATGAAAGTTGATTGATTGATTACTTTTTTCTTTTTCATTTTTTATCGTTTATCAACCCCGTTGTGGGTTATTTAAACTAGAAACATATTTCAAGTTGTAGGAGGTTTCCCGGTGTTCCCAGGAAGTTCCCTGTCTAAGAACTTATCGGGTTCGATACTATGTAACGTGGCTGATCAAATGAGAACCTGCGTGATTTGACTGTAAGTTCTACCATGAAAATACTTACTGGAGCGAATGTTGGTTTTGTTAGCATAGCTTAAATGTGACACAAGGCCGAATGTATGTGATTCACAGTGAGGATCGAACTCATTATTCAGTCGTAATAGATCTAGAGAGACGGAAGCGAATGTTCTTCAACTCATTCACTTATTTTCGAATTTTCCGCTTGTGTCGTATTAAGCCAACCCTGGTAAACACCATTTTAGAAGATTGATTCGTTTGCTATCAACCCATTGTAGGTTATTTAAAGCCAGAAAATATTTTTATTCTAAAAATATATTTTGGCGATAATAATGCTTTACAAGTGTTACTAATTTCTTCTTTAAATTTCTTTTGCTTAATCAGTAGATTGATTGACTGATTCGTTTTTACGGCTTATCAACCCTTTGCCGGTTATTTAAAGCCAGAAAATATTTTAAATTCTAAGAATATGTTTTGGCGATAATAATACTTTACAAGTGTTACTAATTTCTTCTTTTAATTCCTTCGGCATAATCAGTAGATTGATTCATTCATTTTCTACGGCTTATCAACATTTTGCAGGTTATTTAAAGCCAGAAAATATTTTTAGACTGTAAGATTGTTTTTTTTAGATAATCATTTAGTGCTACAAATTTTACTAATTAACCCATAGCGTGGAGGAGAAGAGGTGGATTCATAGCTTTGCCAAGCGTATTTGCGCGTAACTAAATATAACAATCCCAACCGGAATTGGAAATCTGCTCTCCGATTAATAATTCCGAGGCACATCCACATTTACAGTACTTGGTATTCCCAAGCGGCTACCCATCTAGGTACAGACCAGGCTCGACGTTGCTTAACTTTCGTGATCGTACGGGATCGTTTCAACATGATATGGCTGTAAGCCTGTTAAATGGTTAACAGCGCCTACCGTCGAGTGACGATTATCAGTATAGTCTATCAAACTGGATGATATATATTAGTTTTGTGCAAGACCATCCCCAGCTTTAGAAATATCGAGATGGGTGGTCGAGAATGTTTAGTAAGAATTTTTTATTTGCTTATATTACGATGGCTTCGATAATTCCGTTATCTACATTGATTTCCCTAAGGACTTGCCAAAGACCGTCATGCCATACATGATCAAATACTTTCTTGAGATCCACAAAGTTGTGGAACACGTTCTTCTGATGTTGTAGGTGTTGAAGACATCGTACATTGTACTTTGTCCGGTTCTAAAACCTGCTTGTTTCTCTGACAGCAGGTCTTCAGCTTTGGATTTCAAACGATTCAAAATGAGACAGAGCAGGACTTTACTAGGATTACTGATCAGGCTTATTGTCTTATAATTTCGACACTGCCTCAAGGTTCCTTTCTTTGGCAGGTGTATTACCAATGACTGAGTCCACCTGTTAGGCAACGTTTTTTGTTTCCAAATCTTCTGGTATAATGTTGTCATGACTTTGATTGTTTCTTCACCTCCATCTTTTATCAGCTCAGAAGGAATATTATCCATTCCAGTCTATACATTGCCGAACACACACACACACGCAACCGGGAAAATTCCTAGTCTTTCCCTCTTGGTCATTGCCCATGTTGCAGCTATTTCTCTAGGAGAATCCTACAATTGAAGATCTGCTCCATTGTACTTCGTCCGGATCTAAAACCTGCTTTTTCCTCTGATAGCAGTTCTTCAGCCTGGGATTTCAAACGATTCAAAATGGTACGCAGCAGGACTTTACTAGGATTACTGGTCAGGCTTATTGTCCTATAATTTCTTTGGCAGGGGTATTATCAATGGCTGAGCCCACCCTCTTTAGGCCACGTTTTTGTTTCCAAATCTACTGGCATAGTGTTATTATGACTTTGATGGTTTCATCACCTCCATGTTTTATCCGATCAGAAGGAATATTATCCACGCCTGTTGACTTGTCAGGTTTCAATCTCTTCTTTCAATATTGATGCACTGTGTGGAGTGCTGGTCATTTTGCAATATGGAGAAATCCAGATGAAGCTGGTAATTGTATAAACCATCAGAGTATTATCCAAGTCATCCAGGCCCTATATAAAGATGCCACCAGCGCAGTTCTTCTGGGAAAACAAAAGGGAGGATTCTTCCGGACAACTCTCAGCATGCAATAGGGATGTGTACACATTGTTCGACCTATTTCTAGAGAGAATCATGCAAGAAAACTTGAACGACCATGATCCTTCAATCCCAATCAGTGACAGACCCGTCCACATTTTGTAGATGTCATTGACCTCGTACCTGGTAGTAACAGTGAACTCCAAAACTTGACCAACAAACTTTTTGAAAGTGCAGAAGCATATGGAATGGAGGTCAGATCCAAAACATCCAAAGTAATTGTGAATAGCACAAACAGTAACATCTGTGTCAACATTACTATAAATGCGAATTCACTGGAGGAAGTGTCAAAAATTTTTTTAATTTTTATTATACTATATTTTTTATAAGAACAGTTAAATGTATTAGAATCCCTTAAAAATTAAAAATGAGAATATTTCAAATCGTAGTTAAATAAAAAGTATTCTAATCTGAACACCCGCGAAAATCTTTAAATTTACAAATAGAAAAAAATGCCGTAAGAATTTTTTGCCGTTAACAATAAATTTAAAAAATCCAGACGACATGCATTCAACGGATGTCAGTTTTCATTGAAAAATACATCCCTACCCTTTACCAAAAATGTAGCTAATAACCGATACAATGATACAGACATAAGGAAAACCCAGACACCTTGTCCAGTTGAAGTAGATTTATCTGTAACCATGGAAACGTGATTTTAGCTGTGTCTTTAAAACTCAGTAATTTTAAAAGTTACTCCAAAAAATTCGCTTGAGGATGAAATGGAACTAATGTCTTTAATTTAATTGCAAAATTAAATTCATGGCTTTTTAGCTTCCATTTTTGAAACATGGTTAGAACTGTGCAGCAGAAAAAAGCATATTTTAAATGAATTAATTTATAATATATATATATATATATATATATATATATATATATATATATATATATATATATATATCCCATAGCTGGAGGGAGAAGAAGAGGATTCATACCTTTTCCCAAGGGTATTAGCACGTAAGTGAATGTAATGGACTCGACTGGAATTCGAACTCGGCTCTGCGATTCCTCAATCCAAGCCGCTATCTATTACTCCACCGTGCCTCCAGCTATGGGTAAAATAACAGGACAGACTGGGTTTTATAGCCTTTGATGGCAACTGGTCTAGGAGAAGGACAACTCTGAATTCAAAACCTGCGGAGGGTCGTTTGGGAACCTTGTGGCACTCGGTGCACCAGGTCTCTGTATTCCTTCCTTCCTTCCTTCCTTCCTTCCTTCCTTCCTTCCTTTTGAACGTCTGCTCTATTTTTCTTTTTTTTCTTCTTCACTGACCTCTATCTTGACAATTTCCTTCATTCCTTTCTTTTTTTTTTAATAATTTTTTTTTGTGGTACCGACTCCCAAGAGGATGCTTTCCCAATTATTACAATCTTAACTTCCTGCAGTATAAGTTTAGCCGTTATCTTCTTCGCATATTCCTATAAACTGTGTCTCTTACACATCTACATCTTGTACAGGGTGAACATCATTGTAAAAAATAGCACTGACATTTCTTTCTTTCTTTCTTTCTTTCTTTCTTTCTTTCTTTCTTTCTTTCCCTTCTTTATTTGCTTTCTCTCTCTCTCTCTCTTTTCCCTTTCACTTTTTAAATTTCTCTTTGTTAGAAAAGAGATTAGCCCAATATGTAAATTACAAATTGGAGATACCAAAATCAAACAAGTACAACAATTAATTTATCAGATGACGTAAAGTGTGACACCGAAATCCGAAGGCGCACTGAGATGGCCAAAGATGCTTTTCAAAAGCGAAGCAAAGTATTAAGAAACAGAAAAATATCGTTAGAAAGAAAGAAAAGAGTGCTGAACTGTTACGTGATATCAGTCCTTCTATATGGCAGTGAATGCTGGACATTTTCCTCTAAAATGAAGCGACGGAAATATGGTTCTACAGAAGGATTCTTAGGATATGTGAGCCATGAAAATGCTTTAGATAAAATGGAAACAAAAAAGGAAACTTATACTTAACATCAGGAAGAAACAGAAAGATTTCTAGTGTACATAATGAGGAAAGAGGGTTTAGAAAATCTGATACTCACAGGACAGATTGAAGGCAAGAGGCATATACTAAGGAAAGAGTGCTTGGAAAATCTGGAAAAGGCAAGAGGGACATAAAAAAACGCAAACCTACTTAGTGGGCTTGAGTAGATGGATGGCGGAACAAGGTTTAGGAGAAATAACAAAAAGGTAACAATTATTAAGCGCTACGAAAGACGGTGAATTGTGGAGAGCCATGATCGCTTACGACCTGTGAGGACACGGGACATAGAAGAAGAAGAAGAAGAAGAAGAAGAAGAAGAAGAAGAAGAAGAAGAAAGAGGAGTAGGGAAAATAGGAGGAGAAGGTGGAGGTTTTTTTCTTCTACCTTTAAATTCTGTGACTTAGTTTCGTCATACATTGACCATTCGAACCCAAATTTTGGGGATGAGTGCAAACAGGTAAAGGAGGGGTACAAAGTGCACTTGGTTTTAAGGGTGCGTATTTGAGCACAATAAATTTCTAACATATTTTTTAGGAAAAAATTAAATGTTTTATTATTTAACAGACAAAATTCTCGCACGACAGTGTAACCCGGATATAAGGGAATGGTCGGGACCGGAGAAGAAGTCTCTTATATCCGGATTTCTCTTATATACGGGTTTGGTCTATTTTATATACATTAACACAGGCACTAATTTGGGACCAGAGAAAATATCTCTTATATGCGGGTTTCTCTTATATCCGGGTCTCTTATATCCGGGTTACACTGTATTTGAAAGGCAATTTAATGATTAAATTAACAAATACCTATTTAATAAAAACGCAATATTGTTTTTTACACATCGTTTCATTAATTTTTTTATATACAAGAATCCAGTTTTCAGTACGCCCTGCATTTTCGAAAACTATAAACAAATCACAAGGCCAAATGTTTTAAAACAGGTAAAGGGGCATAGAAAGCACAGTTGCTTTTACTATCTTAGTACAAGTAATTTTCAAAGATTTTTGTTTTGTAAAAATTAGAAGTCATATTTTAAATTGCGCGCTAGTGTCTTTTTCTTACTGACAGACATGTATTCGTCGTAATGAATTTCTAGTTTAGCTATAAGTGTAGCGCTAACTTTGGGTCGGGAGAGAAGACAGTAGTTAGGGGAGTGGCTGGGCGGAAATGCTAGAAAGACGAATAAGCAAAATAAAGTCGTCTTCTGTAATGACATTTGCAATAGTTCTCGTATTTCAGGCTGTCTTATTATAACATCAGTTCGGTTAGAAGAAAAAAAAAAGTTTTCTATTACACTTTATTCTTTTCACACTAAACTATATAATTAGGTAGATATTTAGAAGAAAAAAAAAAGTTCACATTTATTTGTTCAGAGGGAAAGTCCGATTGAAGGAAACAGAAGAACGAAAAAAAAAAAAAAATTAAACGCCTAATACGATCAAGTTAGCGTAAAACTAGGGCGGTCACCGAAATAATGAAATAAAAAAAAACTGTTTCCCCCCTCGCTCCCACTCCAAATAAAATATATAAATAAATAATAAATGCTTTTAAAGGGAAGAGAGTATACGTACAATAATGGCAGATGATGTAAACGGATGGACCGTATTTCTTCCTGTACCCTGTACAATTTTGTGCGCAATACTACTCCAATAAACTACATCCGGCAGCAAGGCCTATGTTCAGGAGATTGGAGGTTTTGAGGAGCATGGAACCACCTCTTAATTGCTATTGTTCCCAGGTCCAGCCTGACCTGGAGTGGTTATCACCTGTTAGGGTCCCAGCTATGAACAGATAGTGAACCCCGAAACGTAAGCCAAACACTATAAAAGGATAAAAATACATTTTTCTAGTAAAAATTCCAGCAATACATACATACATACACAGGAGTATCTCCATATAATATGCAAGACCCTTACCTTCTTTTCTCTTTACACACTGCATTGCTGTGTAAATATACGTGATATATTATTCGAGTGGGACACGGGCATATATATATATATATATATATATATATATATATATATATATATATAATATTAGTGGTTAATACACACATATATGTGTGTGTGTGTGTGTGTGCGCGCGCGTGTGTGTGTGTGTGTAAAATTCCAAGAGGATAGAATCCAGGTAGAACTCAATGTCCAGGACAGAGTAAGGATATAATAAAAAGGCTTAAACACTAATATTCCATAGTCATAATTTATTCCATTGGAATCGTAAATACAATCTAATTCATCAGACCTACAAATTCAAAAAGAAAACAGAAAAGAACAACTCCGGGAATACAAAATAAAAAATATATATGTAAAAGACCAGCAGTACCTATTTATAGTAAAATTGTCAACAATTTCGAATTATAGTAAAATTGCCATAAAATAGTGATGCAATCTAGTTATAAATTTTTGACATCTTCACCTCAGGCCTCATTAAACAATCGGATAGATATAGCTGAATTGTTGTTACGGCTTTATCTACTGTTAATTTTAATTTGGCTAAATAGAATTTCTTATTGACGGAGGATTTTGTCCAATAAGAGACAGAGCTGTCTTATTACAATTATCAACTTTTATTCTTAGGTTTTCTTTGACTTCATTCTTCGCCATTTTAATTATAAGCCTTGAAATCATTGTCTAGATCCATTGTTGCAGACTCCCCCTCTTCTGGGGTGGTCTTGGCCACAGCGCCAAATAAGCAAAATGTTGCATGTTCTGGGGGTTTCTTTGGTGACGGGGTCGATTCCATACGGTTGCATCTTCTGTCTTCTCTCGGCCGGGTGATCACTAGTTGGTTTGTTCGGAGGTAAAATGAGAACTTCAACGAAAGGGATTTTAAACTTATCTGTTTTATTAAACACGTCAACGTATGCATCTTCTAACTAGCCAGCTGGGTTGCTATTCCACCCCACTGGGGAGCAGTTTCCATACACGAAAATAACACGTCTGCATTCTTCGACGTGTAGAACTTAACTCAGTGAAAACACTTTCTAGCTCTCTAATGTTCCCACGTTCGACTCAGCCAATCAAAATCGACATCTCTTTTTTGTCTATCATCTGACCTTAATGGTCAGTCTCAGAAGGTCTGAGCCAAAATACTGCAAATAAAAAATAATAGTCTGAAACTGTTATTTAACACCATCACTTAATCAAGTCTATTTAAATTTTAATTGTATATTACGACTTTCCACTAAATGTTCTGTACATTTAAGTCAAAATTGTGAATAAACTGCTCAAAGTGCTGTTTTCGTCTCGGTTATTATCAAGAATTGGGTGTTGTCGGTGCCGTAGAATAGATTTTGCTGGCTACATCACTTATAGGAGAACTACCCACTGGACAATGGAAAGGCCAATTTTAAAACAAAAATATTAGCTTTTACATCAATGACAAAGATACATTTCTAAAAGCCATCTTGAAGTTTATGCGATTATTTTGGCCTGACCTGACCCAACGTGACCTGACTTGACCACACGTGACGTAACCTGACCCGACGTGACGTGACCTGACCTGACCTGACCTGATCAGACCTAACCCGACCGGACCTGACCTGACTGGACCTGAACTGACCTGATGTGACCTGACAGTGAGAATAACAAATAACGTACCAGATTTCGAGAACCGCCATCTTTTTGAGATATAGTCCATAGTTTGCAGTTTTAGTAGTATAATTATAGTGGCATAAAATATAATTCTTCTTATTGGATGACAAATAAAACATGATAATAAAACCTAATTAGTTTTATTAGTATTAATCACACACCCGGGGACAGTTGTGCTATAGGGAACTTGTCCAGGGGTCAATTTGTGGGCAGTTTTCCTGATACTGGCTACAACCTGTCATTTTTGAAACACTGGTACTCAGAATTAGGAAAAGAGAGCCAACATTCCTTGGATACAAAATGAGTTATGACGGCTTGGGAAACTTAACACGCATGGAGCATATCAAGAGCAAGAGAGACAGGTGAAGGCATCGAGTCATTTATCTGATGAGCTTGTGGGAATTGATGTCGATACGGGCAGCGGGAACCTTAATAAAAGAAGGAAAACTACTAAGAGTCACACAAGACAGAAAACTGTGGTGAGCCACGATCGCCTACGTCCTGACGAGACGCAGTACGTAACTGAAGAATCATGTTATAATTCTACTTGTACTTCTGTTTCTCAGTTATTTAGTTATCAAGTACGTTACATCTTTCGAATGCCTCTTGAATAATCGACTATTCCGTTTTGATCACGAACAAATAAAGAAAGAAAATAAGAAAGAAAGAAAGAAAGAAAGAAGGAAGGGAGGTCTAAAATAGGACGGTATGAAAGAAAGAAAGAAAGAAAGAAAGAAATGTAAGTTTACAAAGAAATAAATTAAAGATTAGAAATAAATAAATAAATAAATAAATAAATAAATAAAGAAAGAAAGAAAGAAAGAAAGAAAGAAATATAAGTTTAGAAGTAAATACATTGAAGATTTGAAACAGAGAAAGAAATGAAAGGTTAGAAAGAAAGAAAAAAAGAAAGAAAGAAATTGAAGATTAAAAAGAAAGAAAGTGAGAAAGAAAGTAAGAAAGAAAGAAAATATAGAGTAGGTGATAACGCTGTCATTTGTTTAACTCGTCATTTTAAATCTTTTCATTTGTACCCCCCTACTTCTTTGAATAGCTACTATTCTTCATATTTATGATTGTTATTGCAATGTTTTTTTTTTAGTCAAAACTAAAGCGGTTATTTTATCGTCGTGGAACTGACAAGGAGATTATTCAATCATTAAATTAAGAATTATGATTCCGCAGAAAAATTCAAGTCGGAAAAGTTAAAAATTAAAGTAGTTGGAGACCTCGGACTGATTGGAAAAGATTCCAATAGACTCATGAAGGGATTCCTGGAAGCCCATGCCTTAAAGAAATATAAAACATTGTTCTCAAAAGTACAGTCCACACCTTACGAAGGGCTTTTTCTATGTAAAATATGTGTTTTTTTTTTCAATTTCTCAGTGGAAAATGTCATGACACCATTTCTGACCTTAGGTCTCTGGTCGGGACCCGGAAAGAAATGAGTATACATCAGAAACCAGAAGAAATAATAATAATAATAATAATAATAATAATAATAATAATAATAATAAGAAGAAGAAGAAGAAGAAGACTAGATGGTATGTGTCAAAGAACATGTAAGTAGTAAGCGTATTTATTCCGTAATAAAAGAAGCCAACAAGTTCAACATGGAGTTTCAAATAAGTGCAGAAATATAAGTAAAGCACAATACACCGACTGAAGCTGCAAAACACTTAAAACAGAAAGCAAAGACAAATGCAGCGGACAAGATACAGAAACAATAGCAAGTTAAACCGCTTCATGGCCAATACTCTGCCCGTACCAAACACGGTGATGTAGACAAACCCCATACCCATCAATGGCTACGTAGTGCAGGGTTAAAAGCTGAAACCGAAGGTTTTATTTTGTTGCACAGGACCAATGCTTGTGATTTAGAAATTATCTAGCACACATACTAAAATATTGTGTTAACCCAAAATGCAGATTCTGTGAAAAATATCCTGAAACAATTGATCATCCTGTATCAGGTTGCACGGTGTTGGCACCCACTGAATATAGAACCCGGCATGACGGAGTGGGCCAATATCTGCACTGGAAAAATCTGCAACTTCTACGGGAAGGAAACTGAAAGAAACTGGTATGAACACCACCCAGACCCGGTTACGGAGATCGGACCTGTTACGATTTCATGCGACCACACAATACACACAAACAGAATAATCAAAGCTAAGCGCCCAGACATTGTTATTAGAGACCACAAACAAAAAAATGTCTCCTTATTGATATAGCAGTCCCTGCAGACTGAAATGTATCTTTGAAGATCTTCAAAAAGCCATCAAAGTACAAGGACCTTGAAATCGAAATCTCAAAAATGTGGCACATGGGAACATCAACAATCCCTGTTGTAGAGGGAACCCTGAGATTGGTTGGAAAAGATGGCAGTAGAGCAATTGAAGGGATTCCTGGAAGTCCATGCCTTAAAGAAATACAAAAAATGTTTTCACGAGTACAGTCCACACCTTACGAAGGATTTAATTTATGTAAAATAATGTTTGTGTTTTTTTAAATTTTTTTTTAAATTTTTCATTGGAAAATGTCATGATGTCATTTCTAACCTTAGGTCTCTGGTCGGGACCCGGAAAGAAATGTGAACACACCAGAAATCAAAGGAAATAAAATAATAATAATAATAATAATAATAATAATAATAATTATGATGAAAGGGAATTGACCCAGACCCAGTTACGGAGATAGGACCTGTAAAAATTTTATGGGACTACAAAATACACACAGACAGAACAATCAAAGGTAACCCCCCAGAGACCGCGAAAACAAAAAAAAAAAACAAAAAACAAAAAAAATAAAAATAAATAAACAAAAAATCCTTATTGATATGTCAGTCCCTGCTGACTGCAATGTATCTTTGAAGATATTCAAAAACTATCAAAATACAAGGACCTTGAAATCGAAATCTCGAAAATGTGACACATAGGAACATCAATAATCCCTGTCGTTGTTGGAGACCTCGAACTGATTGGAAAAGATTCCAATAGACACATTGAAGGGATTCCTGAAAGCCTATGCCTTTAAGAAATACAAAAAATTGTTCTTGCAAGTAGAGCCCACACCAAACGATGTAAAATATGTATGTTGTTGTTTTTTGTTTTTTTTTTCAATTTCCCAATGGAAAATGTCATGACACCAGGTCCAGGACGCCGCAAAGAAATGAGTAAACGCCAGAAATCAAAATAAATAATAATAATAATAATAATAATAATAATAGGAAACTGAAAAAAAAAACTGGTATGAACACCACCCAGACCCGGTTACGGAGATAGGACCTGTCACAATTCTATGGGACTACACAATACACACTGACAGAACAATCAAGGACAAGCGGCCAGATATTGTTATTAAAGACCACAAACAAAAACGATGCCTCCTTATTGATATGGGAGTCCCTGCTGACTGCAATGTATCTTTGAAGATATTAAAAAAGTTGTCAAAGTACAAGGACCTTGAAATAGAAATCTCGAAAATGTGGCATATGGGAACATCAACAATCCCTGTTGTAGTTGGAGCCCTAGGACTGGTTGGAAAAGATTGAAGTAGACTAATTGAAGGGATTCCTGGAAGTCCATGCCTCAAGGAGATACAAAAAATTGTTCTGACAAGTACAGCCCACACCTTACGAAGGGCTTTATCTATGTAATTTAATTTTTTTTTTTTTTGTCTGTGGAAAGTGTCACGATGCCATTTCTAAACTTAGGTCCCTGGGCGGGACCCGGAAAGAAATGGGTAAATGCCAGAAATCAAAGAAAATAATAATAATAATAATAATAATAATAATAATAATGTTGATGATACACTTAGAATGACTAAATGATTTATTATTTGATTGAATTTCAATTTTTGATCAATATTTTGCAGTCAAATATCAATGTAAGTGGTGGCAGTGGAGTAAGAATCGAACCTCTTGAAGACAGCTCAGTTCAAATAAATTCCTTGTCTCGCGAATTTTACGATGGGTAAGTCATTTTTTCATTTTAAGTATTCACTGGTGTGCTTAGAATTGGTAACATTTCTTCTCCTTCTTTTCCATCTTCCTCCTCCTCCTCCTTCTCTGTCTTCTTCTTCTTCTATGTGGCATGACTCTTCAGGACGTGGGGGATCATGTCACTCCACAACTTCCCATCCTAGGTTGCTCTTAAGTAAGGTATGTCTTTTCTCTATCCTTCCAGTTCATGTTCTGTCAACCGTTTACACAAATTCTATCTTACCGTAAATATGTCCTGTGTGTACCAAATTCTCCAAGCCGTCTTTTCTTATTATGCGCCCTAAAAATACAATCTTTTTCGTCAAATAAAAAAAAGAAATTAAATATTGACTATTCTTATTGACTCTCTCTTTAAATGCTACTGCTCTTCAGGACTTAGGCGATCATGGCTCTCCCTAGCTTTCTTTCCTTTAATATCCATACGTTTTGAGTTGCCATAGTTTTGCTGATAGATGGTAGCGTATTTTCCCAATTTCTTCCTCCATAGTACAGAGCTGAACTTCATCTACACTGCTTGATCTACGAAGGGTAAGAAAAGAAAATTGCGTGCCTATGAATTCTTTCATTCAACTAACAGTGGTACGTGTTTTCAGTTTACGCTTCATGCTAGGGGAGATAACTCTTATCAGTTAATTCTTTCTAGTTATTTCGTTCTTGTAATGTTGAACGACTGAAATTTATTTGAACTTATTTTTTTAGCAAAGTTTAACCTTCGCCCCCGCAATAATTCGGTGTCTCACGGTAACAGTTTTCACCCTGACACTGCTATTATTTTATACTATGACCACACCCTCTGAAATGTTTATTATTTTAAAAAGCAATGTTTAGAATTTTAGTAAAGGCCAAACATATAAAAATGAATTTATACATTTTGTTTTTATTCTTGAGAATTTACAACAAAAATATTGAAATCTTGCATTATTCACATTATTCGGACTGTGATCCTCATCTTCATTGTCATATTCACAATGCTTCGGTCGTTGTACGCTCTGGCCGTCTTCAGGCGACTGGAGTTTCGAACCGAACCTTTTATTTCGTACACCGGGGTAGATTGTTCTAGTTCCACGTGTCATGCCTTCAATATCTGTCAATATTTTTGAGATGAGGTATTATGATTACTTCCATTATTTACATTATTTGGACTATCCTCATCTTCATTGCCATATTCACAACCTTTCGGCCGTTGTACGCTCCTTCTTCAGGTGATTGGATTTTCGATCCGAACCATTTATTTCATCCACTAGGTTAAATTGTTCAAGTTCCACGTGCCATGTCTCTTATGGATGACTCAGTTAAGCATCGAAACGTTGTGAATATGGCAATGAACATGAGGATAACAGTCTGAATAATGTAAATAATGCAAGTAATCGTAATACCTCACCTCAGGGATATAGAGGCCGAAACGTTGTGAATATGGCAATGAAGATGAGGATAACCGTCCGAATAATGTAAATAATGCAAGTAATAATAATAATTTTTACTACATCCCCAAAATTCAAAGCAATGCAATGTTTGTCATTTACTAATTCATAAAGAAATAGTTCCGAAGACAATTTTTTATTCATGATTTTATTAAAATTTACTGGATTATACAAATATCTGAAAAAACTATAATGAAATCGTTATTATTTAACATTTTGTAAAGTTCAGTTCGATTGGCAATACGCCGATGTTTTGTCAACCATTCTAAAGAATATAGTAAGTTTGGATAAAATTTGGAAGAAAGATTTTTTTTAAATTTATTTTTTTATAAAATGATAAATAATTAATCTTTATAAAATAGTATAAAATTTATTTCATTATAATTTAATTTTATTTATTATTAATTTTGTAAAACTTTATTGTAATTATTTATTGTATCATATAATTATATCATTATAATTAAATATCATTATAATTTTGTCATTATTTTAATGATTATTTTAATTATTTTAATCATCATTTATTATTAATCATTTATTTAATCAATAATTAATTATAATTTATATCGTTATAATTTAATATTATTACATTAAAATCTTTATTATTCACCATTTTATAAAGTTCGAATCGATTAGCAATACGTCGAATTTTGTCAACTGTTCTTAAGAACAGAGTAATTTTGTATAAAGTTTTGAATAAAAAGATTTTATTTCTTTATAAAATGATAAATAATAAATCTTTATAAAATGGTATATAATAAATCTTTATAAAATGGTATATAATAAATATTGCATTGTACATAGTTCACCTTTTTTTATAATATTGTAATTAAACATCGGAGAGGGAGTCTCGGTAGTTTAAAGTAAGAGCGGTGTTAACCGAAAAATCGTCCTTTTGACGCACCGGTGTTTTTTTTGTTTTTTTGTTTTTCCTTTTTTTGCGGGTAGATTGCCTTTCTTTTAAAATAATTTTTCTCTTCCTAATCTTTAAATAAGTAAAACAAAGATGGTCATCTTTTCTTTATTAAATCACCAACGTTACCGTCTTATTGCAGTGAAAAACTAGAATTCGAATTTAAAACATCCAAACCAGATGGTCTTCTGTTCTACGCCACGCGTCGGAACGACGAATCAGAGCTTATGGCTGTGCAACTGGTCGATGGGCATCTCCTCTACTCAATTCGATGTAATCAAGGATACGCAACACTTATCATCCCGAAAAAGAGAGCAGATGATGATAAATGGCACAAAGTAAGTGAACAGTCTCTCAAACTATTATTATTATTATACGCATTATCCTATTATTATTGCGCTTGTCACTCGCTTCGATAGTTTACACGACCGTTACGCCCTGCCAATATTTCATAAATAATGGACTATTGCGTTTTGATTGCATGGGGAGAGGGGCAAAGACACTACTTGGTTTCAGTGAAAAAATGAAATAAATAAATAAAGACATAAAGAAAAAAATAAACGCCCCCTGCCAATACCCTATGAATAATGGACTATTCCTTTTTGATTGCGTGGAAAAAACAAAAGACATATCGGAGATACCACTTGGTTTCAGGGATAAAATGAAAGAAAGAAAGGAATATAAAAGTGTTTAACGTCTATTTTAGTGAAATGGAAAGAGTTGTCAATTTGAAATATTTTCATTTGTACCCCCTTACTTCTTAAAGTAACGACCAGCATTCATAATTATGATTGTTATTGCAATATTTTGTTAAAGTTGTTAAACTCAAATATTTAACGATGCGATAGGGGTATTTCAAAGGGGATTTTATTGTCATAGAACTCGCCATGAGTTTAATCATTAGCTTAAAAGTTAAGTTCATCAGAAAATTCAAATAGGAAAACCGTGAAATGTTCACAGGTCATTTTAGCTATTATTATTATTATTATTTGTGCATTATGTTTTTTACTTTGTATCCTGTAGATCTGTGTCCAACCTCTGGTCTTTAGGCCCTATAAGAGCATTGTCATTTAATTGATAGCAATTTTCTTACTATATGAGATGTTCCTAGTAGGGTGATATTCTGGGCAACTTGTACGTTCATGTTACTTGCGACACTGTTAATAAAAAATGTCCATCCCTTTTCCCACGAGGCCCAGTACTCCGATTACTATTGGTACAGTCTCAGTCTTCATTCCCCACATCTTGTTAATTTTAAATCTCCAGGTCTTTGTATTTGAACAATTTCTCGATAATTTTCATGAAGGTGTTTCTCTCAGATGCTACTGCTATGTCAATAAGCATACACTTGCTGAATTTTTGTCTTTTTTGATAATATCATGTCTGTTGGCTTTTATTTCTCTGTCAGTTTGAATTGGCATGTCCCAGAGGATAGTTACATCGTTATTTTGTGTAACTGTGTCTGGTTGGTGCTCATATCATCTCTCAGTGGTTTCGATTTTGTGCTTCTTGCATATCTTCCAGTACACATATGTCGCTATCTTGTCATGACTGTGGGCATATTCATTTTTTGCTAGTTCTGGACACCATGACAGTCGATAGTTTCATCATATTTTCCGCAGATCCTGCATTTCGGGTTAGTTGCGTTGTTAATTATGTGACAGTGATAGGATCTGGTTGCGAGGCTTTGGCCCTGGATGCAATAATTAGGCCTTATGTTTCAGTTTTTAGGTCAGAAATGGCATCACGACATTTTCAACTGAGCATATGATTTTGAAAAAAAAATCAAACAAAACCAAACCCCAAGAAACCTCCCTAAGATCATACACATTTTACATAGATAAAGCCCTTCGTAAGGTGTGAGATGTATTGTGAGTAGAATTTTTTCGTTTTTGGTTTGATACTAGAAATCCTATCAATTAGTCTATCGGAATCTTTTTCAATCAAACGAACGGCTCAAATTACAAATGTAATTGTTGATATCCTCATGGGCCACATTTTTGCAATTTTCATTTCAAAGTCCTTGCACTTTGATAGTTCTTTGAAGATCTTCAAACATAGATTAAGATTTGCAGGGATAATATCAATATCATATCAATAAGAAAGGACTTTCTGTTTTCGTGGTCTTTGATCACGATGTATGGGCAATTAGCTTTGATTGTTCTATCTGTGATAGGGGCTGTATCAATTGAAAGAAAGTTAAGTTTCATCAGAAAATTAAAATAGGTAAACCATGACATTTTCATAAGTCATTCAAAGGGCCTTTGTTTTTTCCGTTCCGTAAAAGTTGCATATTTTCCAATTTTTGTTGTAAATTCTCAAGAGTAAAACCAAAATGTATAAATTCATTTTCATATGTTTGGCCTTTACAAAAATTCTAAACATTGCTTTTTTAAAACAATAAACATTGCAGAGGGAAATTTATTTTGTTTTATCTTCTTACCTCATAATTCTTAAGCACTTACTCAAACTGAACAATATGGTTAATATTCTATTACTTCATTATGACCGACTCTCCTATTCAAGCAACCGGCTTGCGTTCTTGAGTGAACTTTCAAATAATTTATGGCTTTTGCCTGCAAGCGTAAAATAGAGAAATAGGACTTGAGATAAAGGAACAAAAGAAATGTAGCTTGATTGTCCAGTTGCTCGCAATAAAAGATATTAAGCCGCTGCTACCTTTTAATTGACTTTTCAAATATATATATATATATATATATATATATATATATATATATATATATATATATATATACTGAGCTTATCTTGATTTGGTATAAGGTTTTAGGAAAGAGGAACCCTGTGTGATGAAACTCAACTGCAAGTTGTTGGTTGATTTTGTTTAGAAGCATATCGACATGTCTATGGGTTATTTAATCTAAATATTTTGAACACAACGTTACGGCTTCAACTAAATATATTTTGAACACAGTTGTATGCATTCAACTACAGATAAAATATATTTTGGGTCATTTTGCTATAAAATGTATTGTTAGTAATTCTATTATAGAATATATGGTCGGTATATCTTAATATAAAATGTATTGCTGGTCATTTTATTTTAAAGTACTGTTGGTAACCCTAACAGGTGTTGCCATCGTGGATCAAGGTGGATATGGGAGCAACAGCAATTAAGAAGTGGTTCCACTTTTCCCAAAAGCTTCAATCTCCCGATCAGAGGTTTTGCTGCCAGTTGTAGTTTATCGTCCTACCCAGGACTGTCACCTTCAGGGCCTGAGAGACTGAGAAATCTGATTAAAGATAAGCACCTGAACTGTTTTTCGAATTAAACTGGATGAATATATAAACCTGTTTGATTTTTTAAGACAAAAACTGAATTCATAATGGAAAGAAAAGCAATCTGAAACTTGTTGCGTTGTATATATATATATATATATATATATATATATATACAGACACAAACACACACAAACACATATATATATATATCTATATATAAAAGTGAACATTGAAGTCAACACTCAGAGTTGACAGGCTGTTTCATGCTGGACGCAATCGTCAGGCCTTATATTCATATTGACATACGCTCTATCTCTAATATTGAGCACTTTATCCCATAAATATAGCACAACTTAAAACTTTATTTCTCTCTCTCTCTATATCTATCTATCTATCTATCTATATATCTATATATATATATATATATATATATATATATATACAAGGTGTGCCATAAGTTTCCATACATAAGAAAATGCAAATGCGTCAGTATTTGAACCAGCAGTTTCCAGATGCTTGGATTGGTCGGCGTGGTCCTTTGAACTAGCCTCCAAGACCCCCTGATCTCTCAACACCCCCATTGATTTCTATCTTTGGGGGGCACTTGAAGGCCATGGTGTATCAGGTGAAGATACGAGATATAACTTATCTCTAGGAACGTATCACCAACGCCATTACAAGTATAATTTCAACTATGCTAATACGTGCTCATCAACAGTGGGAAACATGCATTAATGTGTTTTTTAAAACACAGATATTCTTCAATTCCTATAATTAATAACAGAAGCCATTGGTTTATGCCAACGACTTCCCATACTTAAAACTTCTCGTTTTCACTCTCGCGTGGTCATGTGTGACGTCACGAGCTACGGTGAGTTTTTGTTTCGAGCGTGCCGTATGCACGAGTTTGTCGTTGCTTGGAAAACTTCCATGTAAACAAAAACAGACTATCATTATCGTTTTGTCCGTGTATTGTTTAATATATTCTAATGTAATTGTCATCTTTGATAATGGCTTATGTAAGCCGAAAGCTTAGATTGGATTAAATAATATGGATCAATATTGTGATTGTCTTTCTTCGTTTAATGATAATATTATTAAGCTTATCAGACGATTAAAAGAAAAGAAAAGAATTTACATAAAATAAGTAAACAAAACTTGTCTATATTATTTAATGAAACAAGCATCAAATATATATATATATATATATATATATATATATATATATATATATATATATATATATATAGTACAGGTAATAAATCCATTGGTATATAATCCAAGTAGATCCTAGTAATATCAAATATTAAAACTGATCAACAAAAAGAACTCAATTTATTTATTATAACAGAGCATATATATTACACAACAAAATCCAAAATTACATCATATGGGGGTTTGGCATAGATTTATTTCAACTAACGAGAAGTACGTTAGTCTTATCCTCAGTGTATAGACTGTGTCCGTGTCGGAATTAGAAATTTAAAATTTAACTTTGACAGCAGTCGAGGTTAAATTTTAAATTTGTCATTCCGACTCGAACACAGTCTATACACCGGGTTTGAATAAAACTAACGCACTTCTCGTTGATTTAAACAGATCTATTACCTTATGAGGAAATTTGGGATTTTGTTGTGTAATGTAATATATATATATATATATACATTGTCATCCACAGACAGACTGTTTCGCTGTATCACAGCTCATCTGTGTGGCTAGACATCCAATTGCTTAAAGTCAGGATCGAAACCCGACTCATTCGGCAACAGTCGGAGACTTTCCCCCTAAGCGAATTTTTACGTATTTACGCTGTGAATAAACACGCCAGTGACTGAGAGTGTTCAATTCATGGAAAGGAAGATCCTTGCAATATTAGTAGTAATAGTCATTATTTACAAATTCATACTTATCTTCCAAGAGTGCACAACCGAATTTAACATGCGTATGTACTGTCATCCACAGACATACTGTTTCGTAGTATCACAGCTCATCAGTGTAGCGAGACATCTGATTGCTTCAAGCCGGGATCGAAACCCGACTGATTCGGCATATGTTGGTGAAAATTGCTTAATATCAGTGATAGGGCATATAAAAATAGGTGGAAATAGAAATCAAAACCTCATGCTTTAAGTGATGATTTTTATTACCTAAATTGTTTATATATATATATATATATATATATATATATATATATATAGTCATCCACAGACAGACTCTTTCATCCGAGATTGCTTCAAGCCGGGATCGAAACCAGGGGATTTTAACGTTTTTTTTCTTTATACGAAATACGCCAGCAGCTCATCGAACTCAGTTTAATCTTACTTGAAGAGTAATGCTTATATATATATATATATATATATATATATATATATATATATATATCATAATTAATAATTCATCGAGTCTAGAAGAAAACTCAACAGAATGCAGAAAGCTCGATACAGAGCCAAATATAAGACGAAAAGAATGTCCAGTGCATTCTGCATTCTGCTGAGGTTTCTTTTAAACTCGATGAATGACTTAATTATGATTAATTCAAATCCTCCTAATTATTTCTATCTGTTTGTCCTTGCTTGAACCAGCTTTTCAAGCTCTGGACTGAGCGACTTGGGGCTAGTAGTTGTGGCTCGTGGGGGCACAGTCCTATGGGTAAAGAGAAACTCTGATGAGTTCCACCACGGAATATGTGATAGAGCGGCGCTATATCGAGTCTGATTCGCTAACTCTTCGTCAGCGAGGCCCGTTTGCCCCCTGTCATAACTGTCCGGGTTTCAATTCTCGGTAGTGGATACGCACTGCTGATGAGTCCCAAATATAGAACAAAGCGTCCGTCCAGTACTTTCTGTATTTTGTTGAAGTTTCTTATAGACTCGATGAATTACTTAATTATGATTATTTCAAATCCTCCTAATTATATATATATATATATATATATATAAAGATGAGGAAATTGAATAATGAATAGGCCCCGCTACGGTTAGTTTTACCGAACACCGCAAATTGGTACAAAACCAAAACATTCACCATAAAAAACTCATCATGTTCTTAGTCTCGTCGGGAAAGACCTCTCCCAAGGCTTGCTTCTCGGTTCAACCTTCTTAAATAATCGGCTAAAGTGTATACTCTAATCAATATGTACGCTGATGATACCACGGACCGCCGGCAGCTGATCTATCATCTGACGTAACTTAAACAGCTCGGGGAAAAACCGACTGGTCACATTCAATGCCTCGAAAACTGTACTAATGACATTTAATCTTTATCGATCGGGCACAGAACGTTCACTGATAGCGAGGACCGGATGTTCCCTGAGGGAGGCTCCGTCCCTTGAGCGTCTATTGGGACTTAAACTCAACCCAGACCTGAAGCCGTCCTGGGTAAGACGATAAACTACATCCGCGTCCTGGGTAAGACGATAAACTGCAACCGCGTCCTGGGTTAACTACATTCTATACCAAGGCTTCTGTTCAGGAGGTCTTGAGGAGCGTGGAACCATCTCTTACTGCTGGTGTTCCCAGGTCCACCCTGACCCGGGGTGGTAGCATCTGTTAGGGTCCCAGCTATGGGCAAATAGTTAACCCTGAAACTGGGATCAAGATCCTATGAAAGTGTAAAAATAGGTTTAATACCAGCAATACATTTTTGTAACAAAATTATTACCAGCAATGAATTTTGAAGAAAAAATTATTACCAGTAATATATTTGAAAAATATTACCAGCAATAAAAAATATTTCGGCATTAAATAACCCACTGAGGTTGATATACCGTAAACCAAACCAAACCAAACCAAACCAAACCAATAAATACTGAGATAGATAGATAGATAGATAGATAGATAGATAGATAGAAAATGTTACTAGCAATAAAAATCTTGTCGGCATTAAATAACCCATTGAGGTTGATATGCCGTAAAACAAAACAGACCAAACCAATATATACTGAGATAGATAGATAGATAGATAGATAGAAAACATTACCAGCAATAAAAATATTGTCGGCATTAAATAACCCACTGAGGTTGATATACCATAAAAGAAACCAAACCAAACTAAACCAATAGATAGATAGATAGATAGATAGATAGATAGAAAATATTACCAGTAATAAAAATATTGTCGGCATTAAATAATCAATTGAGGTTGATATACCGTAAAACAAACCAAACTAAACCAGATCATAAGTAGAACTCGTACATTCGATCCTAGGGCAAAAGATACTTGAAAAATGGCCAGAAGTCTATACCTGACTTCTACCACGCTTTACCTTTACATGCGCAGGACAAAATTGAGTATTGCTGCCATATATGAACAGGAGCTGTCTTTCCAGTCTCGAAGCAGCCCAAAACACTTCCGCGTCCTTGTGGGTGATGAATTATTTACCACTTTATAAATCCTTTTCCACAGATATAACATTGCAATCCTCTTGTTGTTATATCGCTAATTCCATGAAAAGTGCTCAGACAAACTACATCCCTTGGTTCCACCAGTTCTAACCTTCAGAACTAAGACCCCCCCAGACCATGTGCATTGTAGTGAACCAGATTCATTCGCTTCATATTTTATTGCTACTTCAGATGCTTCTTCCAACGAACCGGCTCCCAAGAGGATACTTCTCATGATATATTCGTTAAGTAATTTATACAGATACGTTTCTCGTATGAAAAATTAGTTAACTGTTTCCAAATATCAGGTTGTCAATAGAGCTGTCAACACCTTATAAAAGACCCAGCTCCATGTTAAAAAGGTTTTTCTTCGATATTTTGGAAGAATAAAACTGATAAAAAAATAGATTTATTTATGTGTCAACTTAATAATACTGAAATGGAGGAGATTTTTTAAAATAATTTTTAAATATCAAATTAAAATTAAAGTTGAGACATACGCCATATCCCTTTAAGATTCCGCCATGACGAAGCAATCTTTTATTTTTATTTTTCCCTTTTTTTCTAATATTATTAAATCTTTTTTAATGTTTGGTCTAAAAGAAAACCTTCTGTTTCAATAAGTTAAATGTTTTCTTTATTTTAGATCAGATACTCCCGGAGGCAAATGAAAGGTTATCTTGAAATCAATGGTGTTACTTATTATGAAAATTATTTATTGACCTGTGGAGGCTTCACGTCGTTAGTGTTTGGAGGAGTGAGAGCCAACGATTGGGGATTAGAAGCAATTAAAAGCTTAGAGGTAAGTTCATTTGTTTCTCTGTTTTTCGTTTTCCATCAGTTAGCAGAATTACAGGGAAAAATCCAAGAATGTCTAAGCCGGACATGTTACAGAAACATCTCAGGTATCTCCTGCGAAAATGGCAACTGTACAAATAAGAGCCAGAGAAGCAACAGGCTCGTTGGAAGAACTCGTATCTAACGCCAAGAAGAGACATTTAAAATGGTATGGCTAATAATCTTTTTTCTACCGTTCAACAAGTTTCTACCTGAGGTAAAAGAAGTCAATGCAGACAGAGGAAAAAAGTGAGCCGAAGATCCTTTACATTGCACATGTTAATTCATCATATGTCCATTCCACAAAATCGCTCCGTGCAAATTGACCACAGATTCTCAGTTGGATTTAAATCTGGAGAGATTCCATGCCAATCTATAGTACTTTCATTTGCTCATGGGTTAGGCTGTCCAGTATGATTGCTCATCGTTACAATTTTCTTACGTTTTGTTGGAGTAACATCCATCGCAAATAATGCCCGTTGGACAAATAATCGACAGTCGAAACAATAGTGTCTTGGCGTAAAAAAAATCTGATGCAATCACGGATGACGCAATATTTTTCAAGGCCAAAACAATTTCATCATACACCTCGAAAATAGATTCATATTACTGCACACCACTACAAATGACCTATTCTGAGGAAAAAAATAGAAATCAATTACACCTTTTTACTTCAGTGGGTCTAAAACTGACCGTATGGTAAAAAAAGGAAACTAAAGCGGTTGTTTCAATTAATTTGCACAAGGGTGTACATGATGAAAAACAAAATGCTCTAAACTTAGCAAAAACGTTTTATCCCCAAAATCATTATGTTATTATTAGGAGGAAAGACCAGAAGATTTTTAGATTATTAAATTATATTTTTAATCTTTTTGGGAATCTTCAAAGCTTTTTTTTTTCTTATGTCAGCTGGTGACTATAAATCAATATGGGAAATTTTAGCGCTGTTTTGCAGTGAAAATCACATTGATTTGGAATTTTTTGCAAAAATCAAATAATTAACAGAATTTGATGAAACTTTCTGGACTTATTTACAAATGAATGAAATTATTTTGGAAACGTTTATTTTTTTTAAAATAAAATCTTGATAATATAAACATTTTTACATCTGTTACGCACCTACGTCTTATTTAATGTCGAGAAATCATTTTTATCGGGTTAAATGTTTATGTTAGTTATAATCAAAACGCATTGAAGAATTTAAATTGTTTTATAAAAAAAATATATTATGGGTAATATTGTCTTAAGAAAACATTTTTTTCCGGTGAATAATGAATTTATACTAGCATCATTAGAATAATTCATACAGTTTTAAGTTTTCTAATTGTTTAAGATTACTGTGTAGTTAAGAAATATATAAGGTTGTCACAAAAAACTCTTCTGAAATGTTAATTAACTAATTTATTTAATTGAAATAGGCACAATGGAATTAGAACACTCTACCTCCGTGGACTAAATAAAGGGTTCGGTTCGAATCAGATATCACCTGAAGAAGGCTGAGACGTACACCGACTGAAACATCTTGAATATAGGAATGAAGATGGGGACAACAGTCTAAAAAGGGAATGAAGTGAAGAATGGGCAGTCGAGGTCTTCAAAAGGGTTAGATATTAAATAGTCACACATTAAATGACGCACTTTATAGAAAATGAATAAAACACTTGTGAAATGGTAAATAACTAATTTATTTAATTGAAATAGGCACCATGTTGATGAATGACTGTTGTCCAACATACTTCTAAATTCTTGATCCCATCTTTAAAAATTCTCATCCTTTGATGTGATAAACTGTCCAAATGCTTCAATTACTTCTTCCTTATTAGAGAATGTTTTATTGCATTTGAAAACCTGCAAAGGCTTAAGTGATAATAAGAAGAGATATTAGATAAATATGGAGGATAAGGCAAAATTTTATAATTAAGGCTATGTCGTCGCTTTTGGACAATTGACTGAGAAGCATGTGACCATGAGTTGTCATGCAGTAAAATTGGGCCATACCTATTCACAAGTCTAAGATGTTTCTTCTTTGATTTTTCGTGCATATACTCAATTTCTCCACAATACGAGTTTGCTGTTATTGTTTTCCCTTGAGGCAAGAATGAATAACCCCTTTGAAAGACCACCATAGAGTAACCATTAACTTTTGAGGTTTTGGGTATTGTTTTGATGATTCACTTGCATCTAACCACTGGCCTAATCTCTTACCGTTGTTAAAGAGTATCCATTTCTCATCGCATGTAATGATTCTTTTTCCTAGTTTGTATTCTCATGCAGTAAGATTACTCGGCATTGTTTCCTTGTAATCATTTTCAACGGGCTTATGAATAATAATATATTGAAAGAAAACTTATCTAGAAAGAAAATATCAGGAATATGTCAAGTTTGTTATATACTAAGGAGGTTACTATGTTAAACAACCGAACCAACAACCAGCCAAAAATGCGTCATTTCATGTGTGACAACCTAATACAAAAAAGGCACTCACGGTATATTCGTTAAGTAATTTTATAGATATTTTCCCTGTAGGAAAAAATAGTTAAATTTTTCAAACATCAGGTTGTCAATAGAGCTGTCAACATCTCATAAAAAGTCCTAGCTCCGTGTTAAGAATGCTTTTCTGGGCTATTTTAATTATTATTTGTTTCAAATCAGATTGATTAAATCTTAAATCAGCTCATTTTCATCAGATAATGTTTCAGAAAATTATATTTTTTAAATGTTTTTTTTTTATTAAAAAGAATGACATTGTGCTAAGAGAGCTTTAAATATAGCTAAAATTAGCTATTTTTAGCAATTAAAAAATAATTCTAATTACTTTAAATTTGTTTTCAAATACAGCAAAGCATTTCCCTCATTGGAAATATTGAATGTAATCTATTAGCTTGAAATTAGAACTTAAATAAAAGATTCAAGAAAGATGATTTAAAAAAAATATTTTTAAACCTTACGTACCGTTTTTTTGGTTGTACCTACATATAACCCGGACAGCATAGCTGAATATATAGACGTCTCCGGATGGAGCAATATTTTCCATCTTCTGCTGAAAGACTTCCTAGATATTTAAACTTCTGTACTTGTTTGAGATTGACATCTCCAGTTCGGGTCGTGGGCTTCCTCATCGATTATGCAACCAGGAAAGTGATTTGTTGCACCTACTCGGGTTAAATTTCTCAGCTGAAGTGGAAAGACTATACTGTTTCCATTGCTAGGTCAACTGCTAAGAAAGTCGGATCACTATGTAGGGTGAGACAATCATAATCTCCATTAATCTATCTTCCATATCTATAAGTCTACCATTAGTCAATGCTTAGAATATTGTTGCCACATATGGTCCGGTGCCACTGCTATTTACCCTGTGTTTCTTGATGAGATCCAAAGACGAATCTGCAATATTATTGGTCCTGATCTGGCGTCTCGGCTTCGGTCACTTTCTCACCAGCGGAAGGTTGCCACTCTGTCTTTTCTATAACTACTTTCATGGTAATTGTTCTAATGAGCTCTTCGCTATAGTATCTAAACTTTTTGAATTTAAGCGCAGTACTAGACTGGTGTCGAAATTTCATCAAGTGGCAGTTGAGCTGGCTAGATGTAGCCGTAAGTTCTATGCTAACAGTCTCTTTTCTCGCTCGTGGAACTCCCTTCCAGCTCCATGCTTTCCAACCAACTTTAATCTGAAAAAACAATGTAAATGCAATGTCAGTCGCTATCTATTGTCCTCCTGATTACTCTTTCCTTTTTCCACTCATTAATAATGTTTCTGTTCCTAATTCTTAAACACCCTGTAACCCCTTGTGTCTTAGTGGTTTTACTGCCTTGCATGGGTGAAACTGGTTAAAAAATGTAGTAATAGTTGTATATGATTTAGATAAAGCACTGTTATTGAAATTATTGAGACAGCTTTTTTTGTCTTTCCATATTTTTATATTTATTTTCATTGTTTTTTTTTTTTACCTTTCAGACTGTCCGAGGCAAAAATGGCCAATATCAGTTCAGCGGCTGCTTACGGAAATTAAACATTACCACAGGAACAGACCAGCCTCCCTATTACGTGAAAGTGACCTCATGCAATTCATGAGACCAAATCTCTTGATCACATTTGCCCGCCGCTTTCGAACATCCATCATTTGTGACTCTTACACATCACAAAAGAAAACAAATAAAGTAAAAAGTAACTAGTCCAAAAATAAAATGGCGGAAAGAAATTTAGAAAAGGGAGGTAACCAGTATCATAACCATCCCTGCAAAAAACAAAAAAAAAAAAAAAAAAAAAAAAACACTTGTAGTAACCATTGACGCTTATTTATTTATTTATATTACGAACGTTTGTTTTATTTTAAAACTGTAATAATAATAATAATGATAATGACGACTAAATAAAAGCCGGGAGGGTCGGATTTGCCCGTATTTGAGATATTAGATATTTACACCCATGTGTATTTTGTACATAAATTCATTGATTATTGTTAGTGGTGATGTGAACTCTTTTTCCTCGAGATTGAAATAAAATGCTTAGAGATCCAAATTCAAAGCAAGTTTATAGGAATATAAATCGTAAAAAAAAATCTTTATAAGATGCGTAACCAAATCTCTTGTAGTTGAAATATACTTCACGCCCCCCACCCACCAAAAAAGAAAAAAAAAACTAGCATTTTGGTATTTATTACCAGATTTTACAAGTACAAAAGAGACACTGACTATATTCGAGAGACCTATCAAAAGGCTTTATTGTCACCACTAAATTCCATCTGAAGATTTGACCATTTAAGTAGCTTGCCTCATGACTGAATTACTTAAAAAATATGTTCGCACTATTTAAATAAAATGGTCCGCTCGAAATATACAAAGTGTCCATAAAGTTCATGTGCACTTTAAAGTTATAAATCATTTAAAGTGAACTCAAACTTTATGGACACCCTATATATATATATATATATATATATATATATATATATATATATATATATATTGGGGGGATAATTTTGTAGATTAGCATTCTTTAGACATTCCTCGACCACGACATTTATCGGATTCAAAATATTAATTATTTTTTCATATTTTAGAAGGAGGTGCTCTTCATAATATAAATACAGTGTCAAATCTATTCTTGGCTTCATAAAGAGTTATATGTACTTATTTGTACTTGATATTTGTATTTACAAATGTCAAGTTTGAAACTGGCTTTACAGCATTGATAACAGCGTATTACATATTGAGAAAAAATGACTGCATCATTAGCACGCAGTTATCAGTGCCATAAACATAGTTTCAAACATTTGTAAATTGTGGCAATAAAATAAGCGCACTCCATCCCGGTCTCGCTTGTAACCAATGATTATAATGAATATAACTTTTTTTTTTTTAAGTTGGCTTAGTCTAATAAAGCCTCATAAGCTTCTACATGGTGTTTTTTTAATTATATTATATAAATGGAAACAATGTATGCTTAAATCTTTATGAAGTCAGTGATTCGTTTCACACTGAGTTTATGTTGAAACGAGAGAGTTATTACTGAGAAATTACATCACATATATCTACACAGAAAAGCAAAGTTTAAGTAGAAACAAAAGGAAGGGTCTTACGTATAATATACAGATACTCCTGAAGCCATTTCAGATTCAAACGGGATGGATTCATCTATGTCCCAGGCGAGGTCGTATTCCACAAATTAGAAACAACGAGTCTGGTTTTCCCAAATTGAGGGCTGCGAGCTGGAGTTTCGTTTCATTTCTGGTAAAGATATATTTCCAAAGAGAAACGGCACCATGGACTTGTAAGCTGTAAGGTGGGTGGGGGTGTAGATTTAGCCTCGGCCTGGAACCATTGGCCCTTGCTAAAAGAAAGCAACTGCTTTGGTGTGGCTTCTGCAAAACAAACAGAATTCGACTGCATCTATGATCACTGTATGACGTGACGTCATTAGGCAGCCGTCACGTGACTTACCTCCATCAAAGGGAGATAAGCACCTTTTTGTATCCCTACAATGTGATGAAGAGAACGCTCCTTCTAAAAAGATAAAAAAGTAAATATTATTTTTTTTATTTATGCTGGCAAATTCTAGAGCTTGAGGAAAGTCTATTAAAAGCTCGTCTATAATAATTGTAAGCATACAAACAAGCTTTTCCTTAATGTTTACGGGCAAAATTTAAGTAGTGTCCATATTTTCTTACCGGTTATAGGTTTTGAATATTTCGAAAGTTCATTTTCAAGCAAGCAACTCTACTCATAACACACTTTACTTAATTTGCCTATATGTTGCTTTTTGAAATGCTAATTTATGCTGTGTACGAATCAATAACATTTAATGATTTGAGAGTAATTGATTTTATAGCATTAAAGACTGTTCAGTACGAATTTGCTATATGATGTAAAGAATTAGAAGGACAATTATCAAATGAACAACAGTTTATATTACTGTTAAGCAAAACAGACAAACGTTTAAGCTTGTAGTAAAGCTCTACACAATGAAAATTGACTACAGCACACAAGTGAGTTTCGACCATTTCTTTTATAGTCGTGTAGCCTTAAGGGGAGACTACTATGGTTGTCTTCACAACAATGAACAAAATTTAAACGACATAAAAAAATACAACGGAAATGGCATATACGCCGCACAGAACGAATACAATCTTTTATTATTACCAAAATTTTCACGTGTATTTACTTTAAATTTAGCTCTCCAGGCAAGACGCCCCCGTTACTCGGTGTCTGAGGCGTCCGCCATAAAGAAGTGCCAAGGGGGCTGAGCAGTTTCTATAACTAGTCCATGTATAAGTGGGCTACAAATCAATTTTGTCTCAGTCATGGCCGATTTGGCGTATATGGTTTTATACCTATGTTCATTTTTTCTCTCGTTAAGATGAAAACAGTCAAAATCAAAATTAATAACGATCATTGACAAAAGAATTATATTTGGCTGAAACTGATGTGTCTAGAGCCAAAAACAAATCCAACTAAAAAAAATATGACTGTTAATATTCATATAAAAAGAAATAATACTTTTAAAGTTTAAATTTCATCTTTTGCGAAAACGTGACGTTCTCGTAGCCTAGCTGTTAAAGCAGTTGTGTATTTTTTCGACTTTCTTGAAGCAAAAAGAAGAGTTCGAATTTCATCAGCTTCTGATTTTTTTCCGATTTGCAAAGTTTACTCATTGTCGTAGAATGACGGGCTTAGAAAGCCGCGAATAAATGCAATTAGAAATGTCCATGAAGTTATATACCACTCAAAAATTAATAATAAGGGTCGACAGTATTTTATCTAATACAAAATGAAGGCGAAAATTGATAATAAAACAATGCTAAAAATATAATAAAAATGAAGATGTAATTAAATATAATAAAAAAAATAAAACAATGTCCGCTAACATAAGATGAAAGTAAATACTAGTCAAAAATTAATGATAATGACTGACAAAGCTTCATCTAATAAAAATGGAGATGAAAGTAAATACTAGTCAAAAATTAATAATAATGGCTGATAATGCTTCATCTAATAAAAATGGAAATGAAAGTAAATACTAGTCAAAAATTAATAATAATGACTGACAATGTTTCATCTAATAAAAAGTGAAGACGAAAGCAAATATTAGTTAAAAATTAAAAATAATTGCTGTCAATGCTTCATCTAATAAAAATGAAGATGAAAGTAAATACTTGTTAAAAATTAATAATAATGGCTGAAAGTGCTTCATCCAATAAAAAATAAAAGCGGAAGTAAATACTAGTTGAAAATTAATAATAATGGCTGACAATATTTAATATGGTACAAAATGAGGACAAAAGTAAATCCTACGTAAATATTAATAGTGATGGCTGACAATACTTCATCCAATGTAAAATGAAGACGAAATTAAATACCAGCTGAAAATTAATAATAATGGCTGACAATGCTTCAAGGAATATAAAATAATACTAAGTGTGGCTAACAAATTTTCATTTCATGGACAGTCGAATGAAGAGATACAAATCATCCAATGTCTGAATTACTTAGAAATTAATATTAAATCTGGCCAGACATCCTTTTTTTTTAAACAAAAATGAATTATAAATTTCATTCAAACTTCTCAATTGTTTTCTCTCTAAAACCCAGAGAGGCGAAAGAGAAATTGCTGTTTTTAAATATAAAGCTTTAAATGGATTTACAATTTGATTTTTGATTTATTTTTTTTTGAATAATTATTATACACTGATTTATTCATACGAGTATTCTCATTTTGATTGTTATCGGTACAAATCACCCCCAGCCCCAAAACAAATAGCTCTAGAAATGGTTACAGCCCTTTCTATAGCTACTTGTTGTTGGTGTTAACTTGATGGGTTCAAATCTTGGGTTGGGTAGCTAATAGCTACCACATATTTACGCGTATAAGGCGACCTTTAAATCTTAAAATTAACCCCTAAAATAGGTGGTCATCTAATACAGCAGTTACAAATGTTAACCTTAAATCCTGTTGTCTATTGGCACTGGTAAGTAGGCTAGTATATTTGAGTCATGGATCGTGGTAAACTAACAAGTACCTCGGCATGGTAACTATATTTCTAGTTGAAACAGTTCATATTATAATGCTGTACTGCAGTTATAGATGTAATAAAACTACTTTTGCTTATTGATTTCACATTAAAATGCAGATTCGAGAGACGATTACACAACAATTTGCAAAAGTTCCGCTAAGCAAATGTGACATAAAAAAATCTTTCGTTCTTGATTTGTAAAGAGATGGTGGCGTTCACATCAAACATTATTTTTAATACTAGTGTTAAATACCAATATTTAGAATAACATACAATCTATATTTCCAATTAAAATACATTATTATTGTGGTGTAACAAATATGGCGACAAAGATGAGGACAATAGTCCGAATAATGTAAATAGTGTACTTAATACATCATCTCAGAAATATAGACGCACACACACACACACACACACACACACATATATATATATATATATATATATAGATAGATAGATAGCTATAAGTATATATATCTATTATTTCACCCCAAGCAAATCAATGAAGCCGCTAAGACGCAAGGGGTGTTATTGGTTGCTAGAGAATACTAAGGAGAGAGAACATTAAAAAATAAGAATTTATATACCGTATATTTGTGCCTATAAGGCTTTTTCTGTAAATAAACCCTCAAATATCGGACTGTCTAATACAACAGTTACAAAAAGCTAACCTTAAATGCTGTTGTCTATTTGTACTGGTAAGGTGGCTAGTATGCTCTAGTCATGGATCGTGATAGGTAACAAATAACTCGGTATGGTAACTATATTATAATGCTGTACTACAATTAAAAAATGTAATAAAACTACTTTTACTTCTTGATTTTATATTAAAATGCAATATTCAAGAGACGATTACACAACAATTTACAAAAAGTACTGCTGAGCAACACGCACAAGTAACGTAAACAAATCTTTCGTTCTTGATTTGAAGACGTATCGTTATTTATGTAGCTTACATGTGGCATAAGGCGTAACTTATGACACACCCAGTGAGAATCGAACTCATTACTCAACCGTAATTGGTCTAGCGTGACAAGTTTATTAATCATTACACGTCGAATTGCCCAATTTTGCAGAAATACGGGTGAGTTTAAACAAATCATTGTTTCTAATAGTAGTGTTAAATACCATGAATAACATCAGTTAGTTAAGTGCCATGCGTGATACACGTTTAGGCGATCTTGTATCTTTCGATACATGACTGACGAGGCAGAATTTTTCCCGCAGTATGTTGTCATTTCTTTCTGCGGTAGACCAGTTGCCATCCAAGGCTATAGAATCCGGTCTGTCCTGCTATTTACCCATAGCTGGAGGGAGAAGAAGAAGATTCGTACCTTTCCCAAGGGTATTAGCACGTAAATGAATGTAATGGATTCGACTGGAATTCGAACTCTGCTCTCCGATTCCTCATTCAGTCAGTTATGTGCTATGCGTGATACACGCATCTTTCAATACATGACTAACGAGGCAGAATTTTTCTCGCAGTAGTCTTTCTGCGGTAGACCAGCTGCCATGGGTCCCATAGAATATTTACCCATAGCTGGAGGGATACACGCTTAGGCGACCATATATATGACTGGCGAGGCAGATTTTTTTTCTCGCAGTAGGTTGTCATTTCTGCGGTAGACCAGAAGGGTATTAGCACGTACGTGAATGTAATGGATTTGACTGGAAATCGAACCCGGCCTTCCGATTCCTCAATCCGAGCCGCTATCCATTACTCCACCATGCCTCCAGTGGATAACATACAATCTATATTTCTAATTAAAATTCATTATTATTGTGGTGTTAAATAATAACAACATTTAGTATAACAGGAAAACTTTATTTTTCAATAACACACATTATACCGTATTTTTTTGCTGTGTTCAGCAAAAATATTTAAGATGCCATAAAATCTTTATTTTTTATGACAGAATATTCAGCTTTGGTTTTCATTCGTACAAGTTGTAAGAATGAAATCGTTATTGTGATTTTTATAAAGATTCATGTCAATACTTTTTATTATTTAATTCCTTTCTAATAAAGGTAAGCAAATCAACATTTATAATAATGTCAGCTTTATTTTAGACTTGTAAGAATCATTACAAGAGGCCTAATTGCTACTGGCGGCCTTCCATACTAGCCGGAGTTTTCAGTCGTCTTATACTATGGATATCTGATGTAATCACGAAAATTTACCTAGATTCTAGGCTTTGTCTTCTCTATACGTCGCCTTATACGTGGATATAAATGGTATATCTATCTATCTATCTATCTATCTATCTATATGTATGTGTGGTTGCAGTGAGTGAAAGTGTGAGAAAAGCCTGGGTATAGGAGGGGGATTGAGGAAAGGATAACAGATGGAAATCGACGTTATATTTACATTTTTGAAGATTGTAATTATCAGCGAAGCAAATAAGGCGAAAGGTGTTCCATTCGTTTTCCTTCGTACGAGTCGTAAGAATGAAATCGTTATTGTGAATTTCATAAAGATTCATGTTAATACTTTTTATTATTTAATTCCTTTCTAATAAAGGTAAGCAAAACAACATTTGTAATAATGTTAGCTTTATTTTAGACACGTAGGAATCATTACGAGAGGCCTAATTGCTACTGGCGGCCTTCCATAAATAGACTAGCCAGAGTTTTCGGTCGTCTTATACTATGATATCTGATGAAATCACGAAAATGTACCTACATTCTAGGCCTTGTCTTATTTATACGTCGCCTTATACGTGGATATCTATCTATCTATCTATCTATCTATCTATCTATCTATCTATCTATCTCACTATATTTATATCTATCTATCAATCTCAGTATATTTATATCTATCAATCTATCTCAGTATATTCATATCTATCTATCTATCTATCTATCTATCTATCTATCTATCTATCTAAGTCCGTTAATATCTATGTCAGTCTCTTCATTATCTATCTATCTATCTATTCATCTATCTATCTATCTATCTATCAATCTCTTCAAGTACGAAAATTATCTATCTATCTATCTATCTATCTATTATCTATCTATATCATCTATCTATCTCAGTATATTTATATCTATACATCAATCTATATATTTATATCTATCTATCTATCTATCTATCTATCTATCTATCTATCTGTTTGTGTGTATGTATGTGTATGTACATATATATATTTTGGATGAAAGGTGTATGACAAAGTAGAAAATTGTTTTTGATATATAAAAACCTATGTATTGTTCTCCCATGTATATATGAAAGTGAGAGAAATGAATGTGTATAGGTGGATAAATACCAATGTTTAGCATAATATACAAACTATATTTCTAATTAAATTTCATTATTATTGTGGTGTTAAATAACAACATATAGTATAAGACGAGAACTTTATTTTTCAATAATACACATTATTCGGTATTTTTTTTTTATTGGACATTAAGCAACAAAATATCTAAGGTTTTTGTTTTAAGCAATTCACCCCGAGCAGGGCGGAACTGCCATTAATACACAGGGAGCTACAGAGCGGGAATGTGTGAGAAAAGCCTGGGTATATGGGGGATTGAGGAAAGAATAAAAGAAAAAACAGTGTTCAAGACAACAAATGACGGCAGTTGACGTTGTATTTAAATTTTTGAAGATTGTAATTATCAGGGAAGCAAGTAAGGGAAAAGATGTTCCATTGATTTTCATTCGTACAAGTCATAAGAATGAAATCGCTATTGTTATTTTTATAAAGATTCATGTTAATCCTTTTTATTATTTTATTCCTTTCGATTTAACAACGATAAAGGTAAGCAAAATAACATTTGTAATAATGTCAGCTTTATTTTATACGCGTCGCAATCATTGCGAGAGGCCTAATTGCTACGTGGCGGCGTTGGCTAGCGTACGTTTTCGACCGTCTTATCCTACAGATATCAGATAAAATCACGAAAATTTACCTAGGTTTTGGGTCTCGTCTTATCTATAGCTCACCTTATACGTGGAAATATACGGTATGTAAATTGTCAGAGAAACAGACTCACGGAACTAGAAGGAATAAACTGATACGAGTTATGTCCCCTTGATATGCAAAGCAGGAGGAGAACAATTTACTTAAGACATCTGCGAAGGCTGGGAGTGGGGTCAGAATTACTGAAATATTGTGACTATAACAATCGCGATAAGGACACTAATCCAAATAAATCTGTGTATAAGAATGAAAATTCCTAATCTCAAAACTTCAGATAAAGATTATCTTTTCTTTTTTGTTTACCTTCTTTCTTTTTCACTACGTTATTTTTTTTCTTTTTTTATTCATGGTAAAAATTTTAACTTTTGCTATGTTGGTAGTAACTTATTTTTAAGCATATCACCCCAATCAAGACTGAAATGCCACAAGCACGCAAGGGGTTACAGAGAGTGAGAGCAAGAGTAAAGAGGGGTGCTTGTGGAAAGGATAAAGAGAAGGGCGAAGATCAAAATCAAGGTATCAAAAGATGTCGATTGACATTACATTTGAATATTTTAAGATTATAGCTATCAGGGAAGCAAGTAAGAGGAAGGAAGTTCCACTGTCGGGAAGTGCGAAATGAGAAGCTGTTGGAGAAGAAGAGACGGCTACACTTAACCGTTTCGACAGCGAAAGGGTGGGACCTAGATGCCAACATAGTAGCACGCTTAAATTCATGCAGTTTGGGAACCAGTGAAAGTAGTTCGTCAGAGCAGTTGCCATGAAAATATTTGTAGAAAAGTCAGAGGGAAACCACATCATTTATGCGAGAAAGTGACTGCAGACGAGATGCCAGATCAGGACCTATCATATTGTATATATGTCTCTGGTTTTTGTCGAAGACCTCGAGATGAACAGCAGGGGAACCAGGCCCTATATGACAACAGTATGCAATGCAAGGGCGAATGGTTGATTTGTAGATTTGAAGGATGAACTCAGCTGAGAAAAACCTTCTGGTGCGACAGAGAGAATCAATTTTCCTTGCGGTAGATAAAGTTATTTTGTTGATAATGTTTGTTTGCTGTCAGTTAATGTAACAAGGACGATTCTTATATAAGGATACCGATCCTATGTCTTCGATTAAGAAGTAAAAAGAGTCACAATCCAAAACCGAAAAGGCACCTTCAAAATGTAAAAGCGGAATCCTCGCCTCCCTTGCCCAGCGACGTCTAAAATTAGAAAAGAAGTAGTGAGTGTGACTAGCAATAACAAAAACTCATTTGCGAAATATGATCATATCATAATTGTCAGATTAATATTTTTTACAGTGATGTTGACCCTGTACAAGGCCCAAAATACATTGGAGAGTTACAGGGAACTGATCGTTTTGAAGAGTTTCTTGAAGGGGTATAAAGGGAATGATTGTGGTTCGATACAAGGTTGGAACGGGTGGAACTAAGGAATATTGTTCGTCTGAACACTTCCCATGGAAACGGTAGAGCAGCCAGACGGTTGCGACGTTTCATCTGTGGGGAACTGTTTGCAGAGTAGATAATAATTCATCGCCTCCAAGATCGAATACTTTGCAGCTCCCGTCCCATATATGGCAACAGTACTCTACTTTCGGCCTGATCTGGCTCTTGTAATGGTAGCGAATAGCAGGAGGGGTCAGGTACTTACTGGAGTGTTACAGGGAATCATTTTAAAGAGTTTCCTGAAGGGATATGAAGGCAATGAGGGTGATTCGCTACAATGGGCGTGGCAAGGTTGGAACGGGTGGAACTAAGGAATATTGTTCGTCCGGACACTTCCCATGGAAATAGAGATAGAGAAGCGAAAGGGTTGCAACGTTTCGTCTGTGGGGAAGGGTTTGCAGAGTAGATAATAATTCATCGCCTCCAAGAGTGAATACTTTGCAGCACCCATATATGGCAACAGTACTCCCCTTTCGGCCTGATCTGGCTCTTATGTCGGATAGAAGAAGGGGTCATGTACTTACTGGAGTGTTATAGTGAATTGGCCGTTTTGAAAAGAATTTAATGGAACTTACATCCCACCAAGGCGTGATATGAAGGAAATGAGGGGGGTTCGCTACAATAGGCGTGGCATGGCTGATCTTAGCAGTTAAGGTTAGAACTTAGGACTGTAGTTCATCCGAACACACTCCATGGAAATAGCGATACAGCAGTGAGAGGTTTGCGACGTTTCGGCTGTGAGAAAGAATTTGCAGAGTAGATAATAATTCATCGCCTACAAGAGAGAAAGAGTAGAAAGTGTATACTGGGCAGCTACCACCCAAATATGGCAACAGTACTCCACTTTCGGCCTGATCTGGCTCTTCTAAAGGTAGCTGATAGCAGGTGTCAGGTACTTACTGGAGTGTTACAGGGAACTGATCATTTTGAAGAGTTTCTTGAAGGGATATGAAGGCAATGTGGGTGATTCGCTACAATGGGCGGGTCTTAGTCATGAAGGTTATTATTGGGGGAACAAATGGATGTATTTCGTCTGAACACTTTCCATGAAAATGACGATAGCGCAGTGAGAGGCTTGAGAGGTTTCGTCTGTGTGAAAGGGATTGTAAAATGGAAAATAATTCGTCACCCACAAAGACGCGGGGATACTTTAGAGCTCTATCGAGACAGGCAAAAGAAGACTGGGCAGTGTAACAAAATTACTCCATTTTCAGCCCAATCTGGATCTTGGTTGAAGATAGCAGGAGGAGTCAGATACTTACTGAAGCCGTACAGGGAAACGATCATTTTTTTCCCGGCATCTTTAACGATGGATCGTACGTAGAAGTTCCACTTGACGTCTGGATTGTGAGGATTCAAAGCACGGTGCCACCCAGAGAGGACACCAGCTCTTTGCGATCACTGAAAGACGCTGGCGGTATCATTTTTTGTATATAATAACAATAAAAGAAGCAGCGAATTGATTTATATCCAGTAGAAAATTATTTTAATAATAGTTTATCTTCTGCCTTTGAATGTGCGATAGTTTAATAGGCAACCGCTGAGAAACCGAGTTTGAATTCCAGTCGGATTCCTTACTGATCAGGCTCGATGTTGCTTAACTTCGGTAATTGTACGGAAACTGGTGTTTCAATATGATGTGTCTGTAAGCCTGAGATGTAGGTACCACTTTATTATTTAATAACTATAGGAAATCCGTACCTCATTATGTCTCCAATACAATCATAGATTAAAACTAGTTTTGTGCTTATATATAAGATTTAAGAAAAGGCAAATATTTTTATATATAGTGCTCAATATTAAAAAATATTAAAATAATATTAAAAATAGTGCTTTAATGATATTTTATGAAAAGACTGCTTAACTTTTAAATATCAATTTTATCCCGACTTCGAAGTTTCTTGGTAAAATTTCCAGGCTTCTTGGGTTGTGGTCTTAAACGGTATTTCCAATTGTTGGTCAAAATCTGTGTGTGGAGTCTTCTACTTAATAGGCTTACATGATGGATTTGACACAATGTGGAGATTTTTCTAAGAAACCTCGAAGTTGGAATAAAATTGATATTCAAAAGTAATCTTTTCATATAATATTATTATAATTTTACACACACACAAGCACACACACAAACACACATACGCACATATATATATACACACACGTTATTTTTTATGGATACAACTTATTTGAATAAATGTTTTCTTTTTTAATTAAACAGTTATACTTACATTTTCCGACCTGAATATTAAATGTAATTAAAGCAAAAATCTGGTTTGCTGTTGTTGATAAAGTTTGGCGCAAGGCTGGGGTCGGAGGCTTCACTTCGGCAGATAATCACGTGGGCCTCTCTTTTCTCTTCTTCTTCCGTCTCTGTCTATTTCTGTTCCGACTCGTCCTGCGAATTCGCTTCGCCCATTCGAATTTATGGACATAAATTTGGGGGAATTCCCTTCTCCCAATCTTTCATATCATTACCTCTCACTAAACCTCCTCAGTGAACGTGGGTGGATTATCCACCCCCTCCTGTTTCGAATCACTTTCGACCAGGAGAATAAACTCCAAATTCGTTGTTTACGAAAATCAAGTTTTCGCTTTACTGCTTGCATTTGCAGCTGCGTGTCAATCAACATTGCCCTTTAAGTCTGGATCACTTTTCCATCGTTCAAACTGCTCGATATACAATTCAAGTCATTTTTATATATGAATTAAATCCTCAATTCTTCCCACGGGTTTTTGGTATTAACCCTTCTCATTTCAATGTCTCTCAGCACATAACACTTTCTTATGTTTTAACAAAACTTTCTTCCGTTTTACCGCGGCAACAACAAATAATATCGCACCACTATTGTGAAGTCGAAATGTACCCGCGTTTTAGTATCAGAGGTAAAATCTTCGACTAGACTTATTTCAAGTGTAAATTAAAAAAAAATCTAGTCAGTTATTCAGGAGTTGCGTACCTCCTTCCTCATACCGAAAAGGACTTGCAAACCATAAAGGACCATTTTTCGGGAGCATACACTGTATTCAGGCTAAAAACGAGCATAAAAGGACTAAGGTTACGTACACATTCCCTAAACCTAACATTTCAGGGTCACAGTCTCGAGGTTGTTGATACTTTTCTCTGCCTTGGAAGTACTCCCATTAGAAATAGTTCTTTGAATGCCTAAATCAATCGTCGAGTCGAATATGTTAGCATAACCTTCGGTAACTTGGAAAAAAAACGTATCTGGTCAAACAAAGATATTTTACTAGATTCTAAGATCAGTGTCTACCACTCGGGTCTCTTGACAGCTCTCCTATACTCTTCGGAGACATGGACAGTATATCTACATCACATCAAAGTCTTGGAGAGGCTTCATCGAAAATACCTTAGGCGTATCTTAAAACATGAAGTGGCATCGTTCCACACTAGACACAGTTCGGCAACGGGCGACTCCACCCAGTATAGAGAAACTTCTCATTCGCAATCAATTGCATTGGGTCGGCAACTCGTGAGAATGGAAGATGGACGTTTTACGCGGAGATCACTGTTGGTAGGCGCCCTAGGCACAAACTCAAGACACGTTTTAAGGATGATTTTAAAGACAACCTGAAAAACCTTGAAATTAGTGTCGAAGATTTGGAAATAAAAAGAGGCAGAGAATAGGTCTGATGGGAGAAAGTTTTTGCTGGTTGCAATCGTTTTGAGATCAAAAGAGTTGAGTATTTGAAGTTGAAAAAAGCTCTTGTGATGGGACGTAGATACCATCCCAGAAGATATTCAGACTGAATTTGTACATAACATCAGCGGGAAGGGTATTCTATCTCGTACTACTCATCAAAGATCACATGAAAATCGGCAGTCACATACCGACCATGTGGATGTCATTCCTTACCGACCTGTACGTTACTTATGCCAGATTTGTGATCAGATTTGTAGGTCTGACGCCGAACTGAAGAGGCACATGAGAGCGCATGAGAAGAAAGTCACTTTCAAAGGTCTTTCGAGTGTCATATCTAAAAAGTGGGTCCTGGAGCGAGGCTGGTTTGCAAAATCATCGTCGGGCTACTGACCTCTCAGTTCAAAAGGAGAAACCTTTCTCTTCCTCTCTAGTCGAACTCTCTGCCTCCGGGCGAAGAGAAACACAGACGAGGCTACTCCGAAGGGCAGAGTCTCGTTTGGGGAGGTGGACAAACCTGACCCCGTGTATACGGAGTCTACGGGGAATTTTTGCCCGGGCCTACGGGCTCGGATCGCTACACGTTCAAAACTGGTCTTGTGCCACATCTTGCTTTGTGAGGAGGTTGGTAAATAAAGAAGTGACACCATATTTTATATCTGATCGAAATTTACGTCATCCGTAGTTAAACTATTGAGCTGAACGGGGTGAAATTCACATGGTTCAAGATTAGTAGACTGAATAGACATAGGAGTGACTATTTGTCATCACGATTTCTTTTAGCTTATTTTTTTTTAAAAAGCACCATTACCTTGTGCCTGACTTGATTTATCTCAATAAAGAAAAAGAATCCTTAATTGGTGGGAATCGATATTATAATTCTGACCAATTATAAAATGTTTGTAGTACTTCAAATCCAGTTATAGCCAGAACAGGGCATTAACAGTTCACTTAGGGAAGCTAAAGTCATATTGCTTGTCGGAAAAAGGCCCTGCTAGGTGAGATGTTTTACCAGGTCAACATTTATAGAACAATGGAGTAGCAACAGTATGGATTGTCGGTGTGTGTGTGGGGGGGAGATTCTCGTTTGGGGATGGAGACAGAGCCAAGTTCGAATTCCAGTCGAGTCCATTACAGTCACCTATGTGCTAATACCCTTTGGAAAGGTATGAATCCTCTTCTTTTTCTCCTTCTTCTTCATCCTAGCAGGACAGACTGGGTTCTATAACCTTGGATGGCAACTGGTCTACTGCAGAAAGAAATGGCAACCTACTGCGGGAAAAATCTGCCTCGCCAGTCATGCAACGAAAGATACATGATCGCCTACGGGTATATCATGCATGACACATAACTGACTGACTGATGTGCTAATACCCTTGGGAAAAGTATGAATCCTCTTTTTCTTCCCCCAGCTAAGGTTAACTAGCAGGACAGACTGGGTTCTATAGCCTTGGATGGCAACTGGTCTACCGCAGAAAGAAATAGTACCCTACTGCGGGAAAAAAAAAGATACATGATCGCCTAAGCGTCTATCACGCATGGCACATAACTGACTGACGGATGGCTTGTCAGGAACTTGCCCCGATAGAAAAATGAAATTAATTTGAAAACTTAGAATGTGGTAGAAACGATATGAAGTTAACAAAATAGACAAGAATTTTTTTTTTTAAATCATTGTCGTTAAACCAAAATAAAAATAATTTTTTTACTTTTGTGGCAGAGTTGCATTTTTATACTTGTAAAAACTAATTTATCGTAACTGAATGCTTTTTATTATTTTTTTTATATACATTAAATATAATTGACTGTTTTTCACTGAAGAAAGGAAGATGGCTGCAGGCTAGACAACGCCTATATCTAGAAATAGGGCTTTTACACCTAATCTTTCTATTATATTTTTGATTAAAATTGTCTATCTATCTATCTATCTATCTATCTATCTATCTATCTATCTATCTATCTATCTATCTCTCTCTCTCTATATATATATATCTTTCTTTCATCAGTATATTCATATCTATCTATCTATCTATCTATCTATCTATCTCAGTTTTTTATCTATCTATCTATCTATCTATCTATCTATCTACCTCTCTCTCTCTCTATATATATATATATATATATCTTTCTTTCTATCAGTATATTCATATCTATCTATCTATCTATCTATCTATCTATCTATCTATCTATCTATCTATCTCAGTTTTTTATCTATCTATCTATCTATCTATCTATCTATCTATCTATCTATCTATCTCAGTTTTTTATCTATCTATCTATCTATCTATCTATCTATCTATCTATCTATCTATCTATCTATCTATCAGGTCTTTTCTATCTATCTATCTATCTATCTATCTATCTATCTCAGTTTTTGTATATCTATCTCTCTAATCTATTTCGTATCTATCTTTTTCCGTTTACTTTTTTTTTTTTAAATCGATTTCATCCCAAGCCAGACCACTAGAAAACCAGGACACAAGTGGGTGTGAAAGAATTAGAAACAGAAACATTACTAAGGAACAAGAACGAAAGAATAGCAATCAGGAGGACAGCAGATAGCGATTGACATTGCATTTAGATTTTTGAAGACAAAAATTGCCCGGAAAGCACGGAGCCGGAAGAGCGTTCCACAAGTGAGAAGCGCTAGAAAAGAAACTGCTATCATAGAATTTACGGTTAAATTTAGACAACTCATTTGCAAATTAATGAGCTCTTGGCGCCAGTTTAGTACTGCGCTTAAATTAAAAAAGTCTAGCTATCCAAACAATTGCTTTGAAAGTATTTATAGAGAAGGCACAGAAAGGCAGCCTTACGGCGGTAGGAAAATGACTGAAACCGAGATGCCAGGTCAGGACCAATAAGATGGCAGATTCCTTTTAAGATTTTATCAGGGATCTCTAGATATATATCAGAAGCACCAGACCATATGTGGCAGTAATATTCTAAGAATGGATGAATGGTAGACTTATAGATATGTAAGATAGATTCTGGAGAGAAAAAAAACTGTCTAGCACGATGCAGTGAACCAAATTCTTTAGCAGTAGACCTAGCAATGGATTCAATATAGTCTTTCCACTTCATGTAAGCCGAGGACGTTAGCCTGACAAGGCGCAAAGAGTCACTTTCTTGTAGGTTAGCATTAGCCATGTTGATGGACTTTAGAGACGGGTCTCTCAGATGATTAATGGAGAGAAGTTTAGTTTTGGTGGCGTTAAAATAAACAAATCATCTTTTGTCCCATTTAAAAACAGACTGAAGGTAATTTTGAATATCAACTGTTAATTTGACCTGATCAGACTTACTATTGAAACAGGATTAAATATCTCTGTTAGCGCAGATACCACAGATATTTGAGATTTGACGCCATCGGAAGGTAAATAATGAAAATTAAAACCAAAGTAGGAGCAAGGGTAGCGCCCTGAAAGAACACCTACATTAGCACGAAAGACGAATGACCGTTTAGGATAAGTTTCATTTCATAATATCATAGAAAAGAATGAATCAGTTCAAATATTCGTCCGGAGACTCACTAACTGTTCAGCTTGTGGCGAAAACCTGTATGCCAAACCCTGTCGAAAGCTTTCGAGATCTCCAAAGCTACAGTCCCGGTTTCACCATTTTTACCTAGAGCTTCATAGACTCTTTCCGTAATTATCGTCAGTACATCAGCAACGGAACTAGAGAAACGAAAGCCATATTGCTTGTCTGAAGAAAGGTCCTGCGATGTAAGAGGCTTCCTCAAATTCAATATTGAATAAGGCCTCTAGGTGTTTCCTCAAAAGAAGTAGAAACCTAATATACTGAGAGTTGGAAGGGTTGGATGGCTCAACCGAGTTCTTAAAAACTGGAACAACAGATGAGTATTTCTATCATGTAGGAAAGCAAGGTATTTCTTATACAATTTGAAGAGAAGGGAAGTCAGTTCGGAAGCATATTCTTAAGGGCTAGTATAGGGATACCATCTGGTCCACATATTTTGCGGAATCAAATTTGAGTGGAGTTTTAATGAGAATTTACGGGCGAAACATTCAGCTTTATCAGCGGAAGATGCTAACAACTCAAATTGGTTAAAGAGACGAGGAATAGAAAACTTACACTTGTTTATATTATAGAGTTGTCAGTACTCATGAGAGCCAAAGTTGTCAGATTCAATGCGGTGCCTCATTCTCAAGGTAAGCAGATATTTAGCACCTTCGCGAAAACGTCTATATTTAAAACGAGCAGCAACTAATATATTGTGATGGGAGCTGTCACGCTGGTATAACCGGAAATAGTGGTTACTGTGAGCTGTAGCGGCAGATCATGCTGGAGTGAAACAGAAAAAATTGATGTTATAAAATATTTAAAGATGATGTAAATGCCAACCTGAAAAACACTGAAATCAGAAGGATAGTTTTTTGCCTATATTTCTGAGATGCGGTATTATGTACACTATTTATATTATTCGGACTATTGTCCTCATCTTTGTCGCCATATTTATTACAACGTTTCGGCCTTTCAGTATCTGTCTATATTTCTGAGATGAGGTATTATGTACACTATTTACATTATTCGGACTATTGACCTCATCTTTGTTGCCATATTTATTAAAACGTTTCGGTCTTTCAGTATCTGTTTATATTTCTGAGATGAGGTATTATGTACACTATTTACATTATTCGGATTATTGAACACAATTTGTTGCCATATTTATTACAACGTTTCAGCCTTTCAGTATCTGTCTATATTTCTGAGATGAGTTATTATGTACACTATTTACATTATTCGGACTATTGACCTATTCTTTGTTGCTATATTTATTACAAGATTTCGGCCTTTCAGTATCTGTCCATATTTCTGAGATGAGGCATTATGTACACTATTTACATAATTCGGACTATTGTCCTCATCTTTGTCGCCATATTTATCTCAAAGTTTAGGCCCTTCAGTATCTGTTTATAATTCTGAGATGAGTTATTATGTATACTATTTACATTATTCGGATTATTGTCCTCATCTTTGTTGCCATATTTATTACAACATTTCGGCTTTTCAGTATCTGTCTATATTTCTGAGATGAGGTATTATGTACACTATTTACATTATTCGGACTATTGACCTATTCTTTGTTGCCATATTTATTACAACATTTAGACCTTTCAGTATCTGTCTATATTTCTGAGATGAGGTATTATGTACACTATTTACATTATTCGGACTATTGAACACAATTTGTTGCCATATTTATTACAACGTTTCGGCATTTCAGTATCTGTCTATATTTCTGAGATGAGTTATTATGTACACTATTTACATTATTCGGACTATTGACCTATTCTTTGTTGCCATATTTATTACAACGTTTCGGCCTTTCAGTATATATCTATATTTCTAGGATGAGGTATTATGTACACTATTTACATTATTCGGACTGTTTTCCTCACCTTTGTCGCCATATTTATCACCACGTTTCGGCCATTGTACGCTCCGGCCTTCTTCAGGTGGTTGGAATGTCGAACTGAACCCTTTATTTCGCTCGCTGGGGTAGACTGTTCTAGTTCCACCTTAGTTATCAGTAATCTCTTGTTAATTCCCCCTCCGAGTTCTCCACTGCCTTAACCAGGTATTGAACTCACAACCCTTTGGGTCCTGTAACTGGATCTAAATCAACGCCTTTATCCATTGTGCCATGTATCTTTGTTGCTATCATCACGTCTGATCCATTCTGTTAATCGGCCTTCTTCAATTCTCCTATGTCGGGAATTTCAAAACTGAAACCTTCATTTAATTTAAGCGTGTGTTTAGGGGTGGGTGATTATTCTTATTTCACTGTCTAAGAATGTTTTCTTTCCTTTCCCCCCCCCTTTTTTTAGTCCTGCTCATTAATTGCTTGCCCTGTTTCCACTGAGTTAATTTCTGTACTACCCGACTCAGGGATTGAACTTACCTTTTGAGATTTGAATCCGGGTTGAATCAGCATGGGGCGGCTAATATCCTAATCGGTTTTGATCATTTCATAGGTTCCACAAATTGGCACAAATCATTACCAGAAACCTACTATTCATGGATTAGTGTTTTAAGCACGTGGAAGAGATTAAAGAGACCGTGAAGTGGAGCCAGGATGCCTTAATTTTGGTGGCTATGAGGAGTTCTTTCAAGAAGGGGTTGGAGCGCTACAACAAGAGTACAGAAGTTGGAGGGTCGTATTTGAAAGGGGATTAGTTTTAAAATGCACAAACGTCTCATAAAAAACGTCTTCAACCTTCAGGAGAACACATTGCATATGACAAAAATTGTTTGTATAAAACAAAATTTTAAATGTATTTAAGTGTTGTTGTTTTTTTTTTTTTAAAGTAGTTTAAAAAGCCAAAAAAGCACCACTTCAATTGATACATGGCTTTAAATTACTCAAAACTATCAGTCAATTTTAATCCATTGATTTAAGCAATTTTGACGAGCTGTATTTAGAATCGGGTAGGGGTGGATTGTACGACATATTCAGTCTATATAGCAAGTAGTGGCATGATTTTTTAAAAAAATTATCAACTTTGTAGGCTTTATTTTTATATTACGTAAATAAACACTAGCCTTTGGCAAGATTTTCACATCCGGTTTATCTGTAGTAATAGCATAGTTATAAACGAATTAGGTAATGTCTAATATCCACTCGAATTAACATGATAAGGTTCTTAACACTACCCATACGACAGCATACAATTAAGCGCAAACAGAGGTAAACACACACACTCTCCCTTTTTCTCTCACTTTCTCCTTCTCTCTCTCTTTCTTTCTTTCTTTCTTTCTTTCTTTCTTTCTTTCTTTCTTTCTTTCTTTCTTTCTCTCTCACACACACAAATAGATTTTGTAACAGCATAAATCCCGTATATAGACGTCTACACATCTATATATATATATATATATATATATATATATATGCATATTTATCAAATGTGCATGTAGATATTTATATATTTAATATATATTTTTTAAATAGATATTTATATATTTTACACACACACACACACACACACACACACACACATATATATATATATATATATATATATGAATATAAACGTATAATATGTATATATTATATATATGTGCGGTGTTTATTGGAAAGCACTGAATATCAGTGATAGAGCTAACATATTAAGTTGAATGGATATGAGTTTGTAACCCTGGGTTTCACGTCCCCAAACATAATCAAACAAAAACTGACATCAATAGACTCAAATTTTGAAAAATAAATCAGTTTGATTGAGAATCGCATCAGTGTAAACACCAGGGTTACAAACTCATATCCATTAATCTGAATATATATATATATATATATATATATATATATATATATATATAATTAGTATTATTATATATATTTAATATGTATATTATATTAATTATAATTATAATTTATATTTAATATATATATTATATTAATTATAATCATATTATAATGTACATATAATATTATAATATATTTATCATACTTACAAAACACAGGTTGTGTGTGTGTATGTGTGTGTGTGTGTCTGTGTGTGTGTGTTCGTTTATATATTGGATCGGATTTCCTACATTTTTCAAAACTACACAGGACTACGTAAAATTACCTTGCGGTGGTTCTGACAGCGCCAAAAATTGGAAAAACAATTGTTTTTGCACGAAATCAATTTGAAAACACGATTAAGAGGCATCGCTGTCGAGAATGAAAGGGGAACAACTCATATCGAGTTATACTTATTATAAAACCCAGGTTGTTTGTGCGTGTGTATGTGTGTGTTCGTTTATATATGGGATCGGATTTCCTACATTTTTAAACCGATTTCAACAAAACTTCACTTTTTTTTTTGGCAGGTAGTGTTTCTTAATGTCTTGCACAATTTTTTCTTTATTTTTACATTCAGAATGATTTAAAATTCCATTTACAAGACAATTGTTTATAATAAAATTATATTCAATTGATAGACTCAACGATTGAAAACAATGTTTTTGTTTGAGTTTGGGTTTGACCAATTCGTAAATAAAAAAAAATAAATAAATAAAAAAACTAATTAAGACATGCGTGTCCGTCAACCTTAAAAAATAATCTTTGGCAATTTTATTCTTTAGTCCTTATGATGGTCGATACTTGATATATCTCTTACTGTTACATCCCCGGGCAACGCCGGGCTCTACTGCTAGTATATGATATTTTTGTGATGTGAACGAACACTCGTTGTCCCTTTCGTAATACTCGTTGTAGTGGAGACATTGTAATCGCAGATACAAACTATAGTAACGCCGTTGAACAATACTGGTGTCAGGCGCCTTCGACGCCACTCGCACTAATAGTACTTGCTCGATAGCCACTGAATAGTGTTACGAAAAGTGAAATAGTATAGTGAATAGAGTAGAAAATAGCGATCAAAAGAGTATAGAGGATAGAATAAGAATGTGATCAATTAGAAACACGCTATCACCCATATATACGTTTCCTCTACGGTCATGTTTTCTACTTAAATCAATAATGGGATCGCCTGTGTTTGCTCAATGGCGATCTATGTTCAAACTCCACTGTCGGCAGCGACACTTTATTCCCATATAACAAAAATGTATATAGTTTATATATATAATTTTTTATATATATAATATATGTAATCTATATATTACATATTTATAATATTATTATATCAATTATATATATATATATATATATATATATATATATATATATATATATATATATAATATCATTTATAATAATATTTATACCTTTTATGTATATTTTTATATATATATATATATATATATATATATATATATATATATATAGAGAGAGAGAGAGAGAGAGAAAGAGAGAAAGAGAGAGAGCGTAGGTAAATATAAAAGTGGCCATTGAGATCAACACCAAGTGGTGGTAACATTCAGTTTCATGCTTAAAAGTTATATTATATATATATATATATATATATATATATATATATATATATATATATATATATATATATATATATATGTGTGTGTGTGTGTGTGTGTGTGTGTGTTTTCTATATATATTATCATTTTATATGCGCAGTTCTTATTGAAAAGTGCTAAATATGAGTGATGGAGCTAACATATTTAGTTGTACGGTTATGAGTTTGTGATCCTGTGTTTCACGTTTTAGCGATCATCAGACAAACTTCGTATGTATGTATGTTCGAACGCATGGGTGTGTATCTGCGCCTAATCTGGGATTGTTTATATGGTGTGTTTGTGTGAACTAAGATGTGTATACCTGTATGTATTTGTGTGTGCGAGTGTCATCCCAAAGCGGCACAGATAAGAATTTCCCCTCCCACCACCAAACATAATGAAACACAAACAAGTATAAATAGATCCAATTTAAAAAAAAACAAAAAACCCAGTTTGCCTGATATTCGCAAAAGCGTGAAACCCAGGTTCACAAACTCATATCCATACAACTGAATATATATATATATATATATATATATATATGTGTGTGTGTGTGTGTGTGTGTGTGTGTGTGTGTGTGTGTGTGTGTGTGTGTGTGTGTGTGTGTGTGTGCAAATTAATCAAAGAAAAAGCTTTCGTTTCCTTTCTTTGACCATACGGTCAGTTTTAGATCCACTGGCGTGACAGGGTGTAATCGATTTCTATTTTTCCTCAGATTAGGTTATTTGCAGTGGTGTGCAGTAATATGAATCCATTTTTCGGGGTTTATGTTGACGTTTGTTTGGCCTTGAACTATATTGCGTCATCTGTGATTGCATCAGATTTTTATCACGTCCAGACACTATTGTCTCGACTGTCGATTAGTTGTCCTACGGTCATTGTCTGCGATGGTCGTTACTCCAAGGAGGCGTACGAAAATTGTAACGCTGCACGAACGCAGTGGAAAGCCTTACCAGTTAACAAATCAAAGTACTATAGATTGACTCGGAAACTCTGCTGATTTAATTCCAATCGAGAATCTGTGGTCGCTTTTCAAGAAACGACTTCATGGAATGGACATACGAAATACTAACAAGTGCACTGGGTCATGTTTCATTGGAAAAATACGAAAAAAGTAAATAGTAATGGAATTATTCGCTTTAATTTGCAAAAAACGTATATATTTAATTCATTGAGTCTGATAGAAACCTCAACAGGAATAGAGGAAGCACGGGACGGCCGTTTCGTCCTATAATTGGGACTCATCAGCAGTGCGCATCCACCACCAAATATCGAAACCCTGACAGTTGGGTTGTCAAGCGAACATCATACCAACTGTTCCAAATGGGCTTCGGTGACGAGGAGATTCCAAATCAGACTCAACTTAGAGCCGCTCGCTCACATATTCCGTGGCGGAACTCAACTGAGTTCTCTGTAACCATAGGACTGTGCCTCCTGGAGCCACGACTACTCTCACCAAGCCGCTACCAACTGGAGCATAAGAAGCCGGTTCAAGCGATGATAAACACAGATAGTAATTAGTAGGAGGATTTGATTTGATAATTATATTTAATCAATTCATCGAGTCTGATAGAAACCTCAACAGAATGCAGAAAGCTAACTGTCAGGGTTTCAATTCTCGGTAGTGGATGCGCACTGCTGATGAGTCCCAAATATAGGACGAAACGGCCGTCCAATGCTTCCTGCATTCTGCTGAGGTTTCTATCAGACTCGGTGAATTAATTAAATATAATTATTAAATCCTCCTACTAATTACTATATATATATATATATATATATATATATATATATATATATATATGAATCCTGCCGCAGACCACATATTCCTCTTTAATGAAATTTATCGAATATTCAGACCGGTAGACGAAAATTAATAAATATAAAAAATTAAATGGAGCGTCTACTGAAATACAAGTATCCACTAAATTTAATGTTTAGTTAATAAAATCTGTCGGATTAATAAATAAAAAAATACCAATTCATTTTTTTTAGGAATTGTATGTATATATATGTATGTCTCATATCGTAGCAGAGCATATACCACTTAAATATATGTATGTACATGGAAATAAATCTATCTGCAGATAGATGCATTAACATTTTTTCGGATAAATTTACAATTATTCTATGCTTATGAAATCTTTTAAATCTGCATGTATGTTAATTAGTTTTTTGACAGAATAGGGATTGGCTTTGAGATTTGTATAATATAAATTACATTAAATTAGATTAATTCAAAATAAAAACTAAAAGAATGAAAATAAATAAATAAATAGACTAAAATTATATATATAAAATAAAAGATCCTTGTATAAATATTTTTAAACATCCTATTGAGAATTGCGCCAGTGGGTCAAAGTCGTCATACATGCTTTTATTCCTCAATTTTCTTGGTTCACACCAGCAAGTTCTGCTGTTATAGCCCACAGGAATCACTATTTCCGGCTATATCAGCATGACAGTTCTGATCACAACAGACGTCTGTTCGTGTCTTGACGTAATAAATATAAATGCATCCCGGAAGGAGCGAAGTTTTAGTTTGTTGAGAGAGTGAGGCTCCGTATTTCATCTAATAACTCTGGCCCTCGTGATTACTGGCGGCTCTGTAATAGGGTATTAAATATGAGTAAGTTTTTTTTTTTATTACTGCTCTTTTCAATCAATTTTGGGTATTAACATCTGCTTATAAAACAGAATGTTTTGCGGGTAAATTCTCTTCAAATTCTTCTTTTGACTCGTCCGGAGAACCCTTGCTTAACTTTTTAACTTCCAATGAAAAAGATGTTCTGATAACTTGGACTGATTTTAAATGTGAATTAAGTTTAAGCGTCTAATGATTTTGTTCTTTTTCTTTCAAATTTAACAACTTAAGTCTTTGGCAATTTAAACCATGGAAAGATTAACAATCAAACAATGTGATAAAGT